GTGACAGGAAGAAGGGGAAAAAGTGTTTTGGGCTTTGGGTATGATTGAGGTATGAGGAAGTTGATCTGCAAATGGATTTCTAATCGAGGAGTCGCGGATGGGGGCAAAAACAGGATGAAGCGAGGAGGTTAACTTATAGCTTCCCATGAGCTTTGATTTCATCCGTTTGACTCACGGGTATGCCTGGGCCAGTTCATCGTGTTCACACCTCCATCAAGGAGGTGTGTACGGTATCCTGCGCCTGGTTAGGGTCGACTTGTATTTCTTCCTGTGCCTCGATGTCTGTGACATCGGTATTCAGGGTGCAATTTTTGTGGATTAGTCTAAGTTGTAACTTTCACAGGTCAGGAGCCAAGGCCCAGCCTGGTTTAGTCCATAAAGGAAGAAGATCAAACTTACGATCAAAGACTTGCTTGAGTAGTCTATTGGTGGCATTGGTTACCGTGCAGGGGTCTGTATCTTGACAGAATACAGATTCATAATCTGACACACTCATGGAATCTGAATTCTCTATGTATCCAGACTAGGGTTGATGGTGCACTCCAAAGTGTGCACCAATGTGAGGGCACTGTGCACGCGCACACCCTTGGCACACACAAAATCCTGAAAAAGGGGGGTGGTGTGCACTTGGTAATCCTGACTTTTCCAGGGGGATTAATCAATCTAATTTGCATGAAAGCAGTAGTTTTTTGGGGTTTCTGTTTGTTGGACCTGCTTTTCTCCCCAAAGAAAAACCTGTGGGCCGCATTCCACCCACCAATTGTGACTACCCAATCAAGCAAAGTCATACACTCTTGTGTTTTGGGCAGAGTCAGTTGAAATAGGGAGGAAATGTCCCCAGTAAAAAAAAAAACAGAAAACTCATGGAGTACATTTTTAATACAAAAAAGGGGCCCCTGGTGCACCTGCAATGTGCAAGCCAACGGAGCACATTCCTGAAATCTTTGGAGGCGCCCTCCAGTGTGAAATCTTCCACAAGTGGTGCCATCAACCCTACTCCAGATCCTACTGGTAGGCTCAGCCCTCCCCAGACACAAATACCTATTTATAGATCAAGACTGTAAGACTTCCACGAATGAAAAGGATTCATCAGGAACAAAACTCAGTTTGGGATAACTATATGTGGCTGATTTGCAACTAACAACACTGGTTTGCTATGCTTAACTGTGTTTCTTTTTAAGTTGGTTTTGATGCAGAACCCATTTTTTTGTTCTGATGATGCTCTAGTATTAGTGGGCTGTTAGTTGAGCAAAACCAGCACGACACTTTGTTACATCACTCTTAGTGAAAAAAAAAATCCTTGAAAAAACCAGTTCACACTTGCAAGCCTTTGGTAAAAACCAGTTATAAAGAACATGAACCCACTATCAGCTAGCAGGTTTTCAAAATGCTGGACTATGCTATTCTAGCACTAAACTTAGTGTAGATGAACCACACATTCAATTTCCACCAACCTACAAAACCTGTGGCAGACTTATTGATAATCTGAGGCAAGATATTTGGGGCAATTATACCAATCCAACTCAGAGGAAATGATCTCAAGATCATTGTAACTCACAGGTGTCAGAACAGCCAGCCATTTTCAAGAGGGGGGACACACACCAGGAGATGGATCATTTCTGGATAAAACCAGGTTGTTGGTTGCAGATAATTACCAGGGAGGGCCATCCTGGCCAGCTGTTGGGACATGCAAGATGTTATGAATATCATTGTAGCTGAACAGTCAATCCCCAATCCTGTTGGCCAGGATGTAATTGGGTACAATGTATCTGGTCTTTTGGGTATAATTGAATTTGACCCCATTGTTGATTCACATTCCCCCAGGCAAAGCTTAAGTGTCCATCCTGACTGACCTGCATGAGATATACAGGGTTACAATGCACTGCCTAGACTAACTGGTTGGACAAGCCTGTTGAACAAGTCCTTGGACGGGTTTGTCCAAGCGGCTCTTGGGCATGGCCATTGGGTGAGTTGTCAAACCGGCTTGTCCAGGAAGTTGCCAGGCGGGGTCATCTGCTCAAACAGGCAAGTCCTTGTTGGAAATTCATGTCCAAGAGCTTGTCAGACAGGCTGGTCCAAGGACCTGTCAGCCCGGCTGGTCCAAGCAATCATTCAACCCAGTGTTGATAGTTGATCTGTACCAACTTGGATTCAACCCCATATTTGGCTATGGTTTGCAAGGTGATCTCCAACAAAGGTTTTCATTTGAATGGTATCAGAAAGAGAGTCTGCCAATTCTCAGAAAACATGATTATATGACAGTTGTATTTCAAGAACATGATTAAATGAAACAAACTCTTAAATTCTTGGAAATTCAAACCTGAGTGTTTTTGTCCTGGATTGGCTCCATGATTCATTGTTAGGTTTTTGGTATAAATTTTTAGCACAGTTATAGACAAGATAATAAATTATTTAACATGATTGAAGTCTTGAATTGTAACAGCAAAATTAATACAGCTTTCCCAATCAAGTTCTTCATATGAAGAGTCTTTGTATGGTTGATACATTTTTTTTTCATTGTCAAAATTCAAATATAACCAAATCCACCATTAATTAATTGACTGGTTTGAAAAAATCCACCTCTTTTTAAACATGTTGGTTATCCATTTAACCCCTTTTGGGGCCCATTTATGCCAAAAAACCGTTTTTGGAAAAGTGACTGGTTTCTGATGGTGGATTTCCTATATTTGATACCCCCTAATAGGGGGTATCAAATATACCCAAATCCACCATTAATTAATTGACTGGTTTGAAAAAATCCACCCTTTTTTAAACATGTTGCTTATCCATTTAACCCCTTTTGGGGCCCATTTATGCAAAAAAAAGTTTTTGGAAAAGTGACTGGTTTCTGATGGTGGATTTCCTATATTTGATACCCCCTAATATAAGATGTCTGATGCAGCCTTCTGTGAGATTGCAACCAGAAACCTTTGCCAATTGGATTTAGTTGTCAAAAAAAAAAAAAAAAAAACAAGCCTCTATGACAATATGCCCAAGGGAAATTCTTTGCACATATCCGCTTCATGGGTCTGCATATTTTGAGGATCTTCAGCTGGACTTGAAGAAGAGGATACTTATATGTTATTTTGATTCCAAGGAATGATCCAGGAACAGGCTGCAAAATCGATTGAAGCTGTGCTGTGAGAATTCCAATGGTGACCAATCTGATGTTACATCAGGTAGTCAACCTAAGTCAGCCATGTGGATCCAACTATACCAACCAAATTGTGTGGGGCAGATTATGTTGGACTCTATGGAAGATTTTTATTTTGGTAGAAGGCTGATGATAGGATATAGCTGGAGCAAGTGTGATCCAGTTGGATGGTCCCTGATCAGTCTCATTTGAGTTGTTAGGAAATAGCAGAGGCTGAGTAATCATGTTGGTTTTTATGGGTGTTCTGTATTGGTGCATGCTCTACTGAACCAAACAAAAAACAATTAGCCTTGTTGTTCCATGGATGTCAAAATGCTCATATACAGATCTTACTGATGAAGTTTGGTTGGTCAACTGTCCATGAAGGCTGAGATGTGCCAGATGGAAAGCTCAAGCCATACTAACTTCTGGAAGCCATGAGTAATAACCCTGGTTATAATCCCCCCCACACACACCTCAAACAGCCACAAGGCCTTCTGGAAAAAGAAACCCACACCTTGATCAACTACGATCATCAACTATCCATCATCTGAGCTGCACATACATACATCAACAAAAACACAAGAAACTCTTTGGAGTGGATCCGGTTTTTTTCAAACGTCTAATCCTTGTCAAACTAGCACTACAAATAATACCGATTTTGCCCCAGGAAAAAATGGCAATTTGGTTGGTGGAAAATAGGTCACTTTCCTGAGCATTTTTTTACAAAATGACTCAGGAGTCAAAATTAAGCTAAAATGAGCTATTTTAGCCAAAAAATAAAAATGCCTCAAATGAGCTAGAAATTAATTTTGGAAAGTTTGAGGCATTTTTATTTTTGGGCTAAAATAGCTCATTTTAGCCTGATTTTTACTCCTGAGTCATTTTGTAAAAAAAGCCTCAGGAAATTGAACAATTTTCCACCACTCAAATTGCCATTTTTTCATGGGGCGAAACTGGTATTGTTTGTAGTGTAGGTGCACATGAAAAACAGTTGATCCATATTCAAGAGAGGATTCCAAGCCCTGCAAGTTCCACTATGTAGTACCAACTTCCGACTCTGCAACAAATTCAATACATAGTTTGTATCATCAGGAATCGTACCAACATATATGGAAAAGAACCAGATTAAATGAATATGACTCGCAACAGAATTACCACTTTGGTCATGAATACAAAAAATACATCAAGCCCTTGATACCTGAAAAAATACACGCAAATACGTTGCAAAAACTGTATTTGTTGAAGTGTTGCTAGTACTCCAACAAAAAAAAAAACAGGCAAAAAAACAACAACAAAAAAAAAACCTGACAAAGGTACAAGCCCGCAACTTTCCAAGACGTCCAACAATGAATGATGATGAGCAAGAGAAGGAGTATGGAGATCCGAGGATTGAAGGCCTTGATTGTTAGTATTGAGAGCATGATGAACTGGCCGCAGACCAGAGGCATACATAAGATGACCTGTCAAACAGCTGCTCTCAGACTGACCAATGAGCCAGTCGATGATATGTGGAGCTGCCCTGCACCCTCTGTCATGACACAAGTGGTACAACACAGCAGCCCCGGAAATCTGGAAGCTGAATGGCGCTCAGACCTCTCGATCGGATGCTCTACTCTAAACCAAAAGCAAACTACTCAAGCAAGCACTGCAGGGTGCCAATCAGTTCAGCTGGTCCAGGGTTCCAGCCTTCATTTGAGCTTCACAGGTTGTGCTTCAGTTGCTCTGGATGTGATGCTACTCATGGACTCTTTGTTGCTTTTGTTGCTTATAAAGGGTATACGTACCAAGGCTCAAGTCACTTGATCACTGGTGTTGCACCCTTCAAGACACATCATGTATTGCCTGATGCCACTATTTTAGTCATTATTCTGGATCTGAAACTCGTCACATTTCATTTTCAATCTCACATCCATCTCATCATATCAAATCAAAAGTCATGATCATCATCATCATCATCAACAAAAAAAAATCATCAAACAACTAAAAAATAAGGTGATCATCAATTGAGCAAAAAAAAGAACCAACCAATCAAACCGCCCAAGAAAAAGGAAAGAAAAAAAGGTAGTTGATCTATCAAAAAAGAAAAAAAAAGGAAACTAGATTAAATTGGATTAGTTTTTTTGGTGGTGATGATGATGATGATGATATGAGGTCAATGATATATTAGAAAGAAGGAGAACCAAAAAAAAAGATGTTTGAAATAAGTTTAATAGTCAAGAGAAAGAGAGAGAAGAGAAGAGAATAAGAGCAGGGAAGAGAAGGGAGAAGAAAAAAAAGGAAGCTTCAAGAGAGAAACAGAGAGAGATATAAGCCGAGTTTGAATGTATCATAAGGGGAAGAAGAAACTCAACCACCCGGCAGAAGATGAGAACAAGAGTCTATGTGTGTGAGCATCTTTTGATTGAAGAAAAACATAAGCAGTATTGTAACTTAAAAGGGGGAAAAAAAGGGAGCCTGATCATCTTTGATTCGAGTATACATACATACTGATTCATTTATTCAATAAAAAAAAGAGGGCCAAAAGCCAGCAAGCAAGGCAAGCTTTGATTTGTTCTTCATGATTGTTCTTGGTGGTGGTGGTGGTGGTGGTTGCTGTGATTGTTGCTCAATGTTATTCAAGAAAAAGACGGACACCAAAACGCTCAAGAACCGCTGCCCAAGAAAGCCAAGAAAACAAAGATCATCGGGGGTGTTGTTTTTTTTTTGGGGGGGGGGGGTTTCTAAAACTTGAAGAATCTAAAGAAGAACATTTTGATCCGTTCGATGAACGAGCCTTTCCATCCGAGGTCTTTTTCGAACACGGAGAGTTGGATGGAGCCGTGGCCGAAGAAGCCGGCGTTTGGGGCCGCGCTTGGACCGGCCGAACGGCCGTTGGGATAGAGTTGTCCCGAGGAGCCCTTCCTCTTCGACGAGGCCGCCGACTCAGACACTGAATGTTTCTCGTGTCGGTCTTTGATGGAGGAGGAAGAAGACGAGTCGAGGATGCCGAGCCGATCGAACTTGATCGATTTGATCCGCACTTTGATGAAGTTGGGGAACACCGAGATGAGTTCCAAGAGTTCGGGATTGGTGAGATAGGAGGGCGATCTGAACAGTCTGATTTCCGAGGGCGGTGGTGCATCCAATGAGTTTTGAGTCGGTGAGCGACGATGCGAAGGCAGTTCTTGATCGAAAGAAGCAGACCGTTTGGTTTTCGATTTCGGTTTTGAAGGGTGATGGAAATGATGATGAGGATTAGAGAGCGGTTGGGGGTATCCTAAGCCGAGTGGACTGGGCTTCCCGATCTGATGGTGTTCGTGTTCTTCTTCGGTGGCCGGAGGAGAGACGGTGATCCTCGGCGACGAGGTGGCCAGGTCACGAGCAGCAGAAGAGCGGGCGGGCGGAGCGGGGTCGAGGAACGGATCGGAGAGGGCCCGGTCGCGCGCTCTGAGGGTCGTCTTACCCTTGAGGCCGCGAGCTTGTCCATAGCCTTCATCCTCGCCGCCGGCCCGAGTGTCGTCCGCAAAGGGACCCTCGCCGACGCTCGACGGGTCGTAGGCCTCGTCGAGCTCCAGCTCCTGTCGCTCCTCTAACGTCATCCCATCGTCCCCATCTACATGCCCGATCACTAAGCCTTCCGCTCCATCCTCATCCTCCGAATCTTCCACTACTGAATAGCTCTTGTTGCTAGTGTTGTGCGTCCCAAATGAATTCCTCAATGAGGAGGCTACTAATGGCTTCAAATGGTCCTCAAACCCTAGTACCTGTTTTTTTTAAATAAAAAAAGGAATCAATTTTGATTTTGTGAAGTACAAAACAAAGGGGATGCTGACGCCTTTGAGTAATTGGATACTGTCTACTAAGAACGGCTCCCCCCCTGCCTCACAGAACAACGCCAGATCGATCTCCCACTCGACTCTTCTTTTGCCAGCGCCGGACTTCCTAGCAGGCAAGCTCAAGAGATGAAGGACGGCGCAGAGGGAATTAAAGAAAGCTAGAGACCGGAGCCAATCAGAACGACACTATCCATCAAAGAGAGTTAAGGGTAGGGTAGGGGGGACTGACGATGGACGCCAACCATGTTCCGGACGCAATGAGCATTGATGAATTTCTTGAGTCGATCCAGTCGTTCTTGGCGAGCCCTGGGAGAGCGTAAGGCCCACAGACTCGAGTCGTTTCCGACGGCCTTGATGATGATCGATGAGGGCAGAGTGTCGTGTAGCAGTTTGTCTACCTCGGCCCGTCTTGAGCTGGCTGCATCTCGATGGAATTGCGATCGAACGGTTGCCATCTGCTTGGTATATCTAAAAAAAAAAAACTTGTCAATCAGTCTCTTTGATTCCCTTGTTTTTTTTTGTTAATTTATCCTGGATCACTCACGCAGCTTTGGATGCAGCCGGCAAGTTTTTGATGATCGATTCGACGTTCTTGGTGGCGATCGGATCCCCGGTATGGAACATCTTACGACATTCTTCGGAGAAGCTAGCGAGCAGGTCGCTGTTGTGCTGTTGGTTCGAAGGTATTCGGTTTGATGAGATGGGTAGTTGTTGTTTGGGTTTGGGCAGATGGAGGGGGATGGATGTGAGTTGGAGGGCATGTTTGTGTTTGTTGTAGTTCAGTTGTTCGGATGATAGGGATGAGGTGGTTGTTGTTGTTGTTGTTGTTGAGGTTGTTGAGGTTGAGGTTGAGGAGAGGAGCAGTCTGGTTGAGGAGGGCATCTCGTCTGGTGATTTGGGGGGGTAGTCGAGTTGTACGCTGTCATCCTGGGTGTTGTTTGAGAGTGAGTTGGGTGTGTTGGTTGAGGTTGAGGGTGGACTGAGTGGGTGGTTGTTGATGTAGTGCTGTTGGTGGTTCATTTGGATTATTAGTTGAGTTCTTTTTTCTTTTTTTTCTTTTTTTTTTTTTTTGAAACAAGGCTCGAGGGAAATTAAGGGAAGCTGCTACTTCTGAGACTGCTAGTTGATTCTATGGATTTAACGAAGAACACTCTCCCACTTAAAAATGAAAAACTTTGGATGGGGGGGAAGAGAGAACAGCGGGGCCGGACTGTCGCAGGGAGCTAATTAAAAAGATAGACCCCCCTCGGAAGAAAAAAAAAAAAAAAAAAAACAGAAAAAAAAGGGAAAAAAAGACCATACATATCGACAGCGCAGATGGCGCACTGCTTGTGTTTCAAAACTCCTTGATTAACATCATTTGAACCCCCTGATAGATAGTCAGGATTCACAAGAAGAAGCGCGACTGACTATGTATTGGCCCATGAGCTGATGGATTGCGCCACCGCTGGATGCTCTCATTAGGAGTCCTGCATCTTTCAGCAGTTGATGTGCCCCGTGTCAGTCGGAGGAGGAAGGCTGTCTTGGTCTAAATTCCATGGACAACCCATAAATTGCTCGCTTGCTAAAAAAAACATTAGTGAATTTATAAAGCACGGTACAACTACAAATTCGACTCGGCGAATACTAGAGAAAGAGAGTCGAGAGAATGACCAGCACTGCAAATAATTAGCGCTGGAGACAAAAACACCAAAGACCAGACACATCATCTGTATGTATCGGGCTCCACCCCACCCAAAGTTTCGGCCACACAGCCATGGCATACACTCGAGACTTACGTATTTGCTCGAGAGGAAGAGAGGATCATGATCGACGGCGTCCGGAAGTCCAAATTAGTGGCTACATAAGATTGTGTCCATGTGAGGGTTTATGTGTATCCGATAGATCCCCCAGCTCACTGCATTGTTATAAAAGAAGACTATAACCATGAGCTCGGTAATTAGCGCCAACGAGCCTACATCCCATGATCGCCGCGAGTTGGAGCAGCGGGTCCGGGCCCCTATACATACACTATACTTTATCGAAACGGGATGATCAAAAAAACAGCAGACCCTACATATATTAATAATCAGACAGCTCGGCAAGCAGGCGCTCTCACTTATCGGTGACTCGCTATTGTACATAGATTAGCACTGGTTTATGTAAATATCTTTTATAAGGAAGGATGATGATAATATGTACCCGAGGCCTCGGCTTGAACCAGCTCGACAAAATCGAAGGACTGCTGTTGCTCACCGATGGGACGGCGTGAAGTAACCTGCGAGGCGAGAGCTTCATGACCTACCTGCAGCTCGCTAGTTATAAGGAGAGTACTTCCTGGGTGATTACTTACTGTGTGCCATGAATCTGCCGAGGAGGTTGGTTTCCCTGCTCGGCAAGCCGCGGGTACATACAACAAGCCTCGTCGAGCAGACTTGCCGCGAGGCCGTCGGTCTGGTATTAGTTAGCATCACTCATTTTTTAAGCTCTTGTTTTCCTCGCCCAGCTGGTGCAGGCTTTGCCAACTCGGTGATCAGGAGGAACCCCGTGAGACGAGCCTCAAATATGGCTCCTTCAACTTTCCAAGCGGCCTTCGCAAGACCTCAACTCTGTTCACATGACCCAAGGTTGACGCCTATATTGTTTGGTCTTTGGGACGGCCGGGGTGGGGGGTCTTCGCGGAGCTGTGTCCCCTCAGTAGATGTGGTGGATTTGACCTCAACTGATTCTGGCCGGCCTATTTTATGTTGATTGTACTTCATTTTTTTTAAAAGATTCCACAAATAAAAAGAGAGGTGGTCATACAGGTCTACATATATTGAAAAACAGGCAGAAAATTTTCCTTTGGACACACATACATTACTTATAAGCTGAAGAGGATGATGGCAACAGTCAGACTTGGAAGCCTAGGCTTGCCCTCTTTGTGCACACTTGATCTGGGAAAAAGCAAAAGTTTCTTAACACTGGAAGTAGTTTTGGAGAGATGTGTTTTTCCCTTTAGGAAAGAAAATCGGGGGAAGCTAATACTCTCTCTCTCTCTCTCTCTCTCAAAACAAGAAAAGAAAAGAAAAGGTCTTACCTACTTAGAAAACAGGGATAATCCTCATCGGTTGTCCCTGGCAACTAGCTGGGAGCTAGAACTCCTCCAAATAAACCAAGCCAGAATTCACAGAAAAGGTATCCCCAACAAACCTGTTTTTCATGAAAGCATCTTGCCTGATGATGCAGTATGTATGTACCTATTATTGGGGTTCATGATTAAAATTCATTACATTTTGAAGCTCATTTCAATGTGTTTATCAACAATAATGTTTTTTTTTTAAAAAAAATATTTGAAAAGCGGTGTGGATTGTTCATGAGAAACTCCCAAATCCATCCAACTCATCAAATTATTCAAAATGTGGTTCATAAAGGATTGAAAAACCTTTCGAAATGTCAATCATGAACCCCACTATTTTATTTACTTTTCAGTGCAGAATCTTTCTTCCCCAGCTTGTTACAAATATGAATTGTCAACTTACACTTGAGTCCTCCCAAATGAACCAACAAGATATCTGGTACTACTAATAGTTTTTCATCTAGTTTAGAAGTTGTCTAGTTTGATGATAAAAACTCTTCCATTGTGGTTCCTTTCTTCACCTGGGATGCTATTAGCAGGTCCCCAGAAACCCCCTACAATTGAGGCCAACCAACATTTACATATTTTGTTTTTTCAACCAAACCAAATCACCAGCTGAGGCACCAAATCAATTTGTGTCATGTCTAGGGTACTTGCCTAATGTGCACAGTTATTTTCCTCCCTTTTTCTTGTCCTTTTGGCTCTTTTTTATCTTTTTGATTTATGTACATACACTTTTTTGTATCCAGTTTTGAAAAAAAAAAAAAAAATTGGGGGTGATGTTACAAGGAGGACAGAAGTTGGAAGTTCTAGACAGGAAGGAAAAAGGGCCACTTTCATAGGCCTCTTTGCAGGAAATACGGATGTGACATGAGCATTTTTCCATCCCTCTCAACCCCCCCCCCCCCCATACTAGAGGGACCATAGACACAACATGGGTATGATTGGTTCTTGAAAATATAGAAAAACACACAGCTAGAGACAGCAGTGATGGTGAGAAAGAGGATGAGGAAAATGGAACTTTCACAAATGCTGCTGCTGTTTTAGCACATGACAAGTGCAACATTGACCACATGATGCTGAAAGGGGTGTAACATGTTGGTAACAACTTGACTACATTTCAACTATCCCTTTCTTAGGTAAGTTATCCAGCAATTCTCCCTCAATTCTTTTTGATTTTTGAAACATATCTTTGTTTCCTCTTAAAATGAATAAATATAAACATTGCTACAGGTGTGTATTTCAGCATACTGATACAGGTGAGGAATGATGATTAAACTCAAACAGTCTAGAGCTAGTTCAACTCCAAGAAAAAGTGAAAAGCTGGGTGTTGTTTTGGAAAGAAAATGATTGTGTACAAAGCTTGGGGAGTCTACTTATTAGCTGACACAAGAATCATTCCAGCACTTTCAAGAAACTCAAGCAAATCCAGGTTGAGAGGAGGTGTAAAAACAATGAAATACCGGGAATATGAGAAGAAGAAGATTTTTGAAACAAAAACTTCAAATCAGTATGGGGTGGGGGCGAGTTTTGTGCTGATCATAAACATCATTATCTGCTATCAATGAGAGGTGGTTGATTTGTTTTGTGGCATAGAGGAGAAGAAAGATCTATTAGGGGAGTCTCCTTTTGCAATGCAAACTATAAAAAAAGAATGAAAATGTGTCAACAGGAATATATTAAGGAGGGTTATTGATCTTACTAGGCATTTTAAATACCTTGATCAAATTAAATTAACTTTTCTCGATTACTCCAACATTATCCGAGACTGGTGAAGCCTACGAGCTCGTAGCTTGCGACGATCGAGCACCGGTGTCGTCGGATTTGGACTGGATGCTAGCCGGGATTGGTCGAGCAGAATCCGCCGAGTCGAGGGGCAAGGACTGGACGGCTGGAAAGCTCAAAAGGATGACGGCACTGAAGAAGATTGTGAACCTCATCTTGACTAAAGTTGCACAAACGTTATTCTTGATCGATTAACAAAAACCACTGGTGCGTTTATCGTCTAACTTCTACAAGAAGCTTTTTCCTTTATTTTGATAGAATGATAGTGTATCGTAAATATATTATGTGACAACCAGAGCCAGTCTGAAAGTCGCAAGTCACCAGGTCAATAAAATGATTGGAGTTGATGATTGAGTTTTTGATCTAGCTCTGATTAAGAGGAAACCTTGGAATAGGTGGATAACCAAGACCTATTTATGCTCGTATGGCCTCAGACTCAGAGAAAGGAAGATGAGGTATGGCATCATGGGTTGTTATGCTGCTTGAATTTGAGTAGGCAGGCTCTGGGTAGTCAGGAGGCCAGAGTTTGTTGCATCGAAATCTCAGCTAACTATTCCATTAGAGCACGCGAGCAAGTAGCCCGTCAAGGAAACCAGTCGGGAAGCTTACAGGCAAATCTAATGAAACTCGAAAAAAAACCTTTGGATTCTTGGTTACATTTTCGACCACGTTCAATCATTCAAAATATGAAGGCCTCGGTTACTGTAGAAATAGCTTCCTTCATCAGGTAACTGATTTGCCTCCCACCGTCACGTGTAATAGTTTTCTACTGGATTGTGTATCAGAATCATTTACGTTTCTTGGAACGAAGACGATTAAGCTTCCGCCGGTTACGCATCTACCGGTAAGTCAGCATTACGACAGAGTCAACACAAGGTCAACAACATCTTAATCTAAGCGTTCAAAGAAAAATATTGAAGAAACAGACGATATCAGACCACTTGAATTTCTTTTATAGATGAACAAGATCACTTTGAACAGATTGCTTCACTTGAAACAAAAGTATTACAAATTAAATATCAACAACAAAACCAAATTGCATCACAATTAATCACAATATTTGATGAGATAACTGATTTATGATGCACCAAACAGTAACCAAAGACACTTGAAGTGACATCACAAACACCAGATGTCCTGAATTGCTGTAGGTCACCTTCTTTGCATTTAAAACTGCAGTGGGGACAAATGATAATGAAGTTACACGGTTGACCTAATGTAAACCATTTGATTTTACACTGGCAGACTTCCTGTCTGTCAGCTCCGGTCTATTATGTGACCAGGAGTTGATAGGGCATTGGGTCACACTATAGCCAAGAAGTGGCCAGTGGAGATAAGCCTCTTCCCAACACTTGATATAAAGTGGAGGGGCTAGCTCCTTATAAGAATACTAGTACATGCCCCCATTTTTGGGGAGTCTTGGGTGGTAATTTTATTTGCCCCAATTTTTTTTAATTGGGTGATTACTTGATGACCTATGTATTGGGTTTTTCTTGAGTTGCACACCTGTCTGTCTTGGTCTAACACCGGTGTTGACAAAAGCAACAAATGTGAATTGAAGGTTGACACCGGTGTTAGATTGCATGACAGTTTGTTTGGCTCTCTAAGCCTATTTTTTTTAGTTATATGTAGAAGGGACAACTGTGGAATGAGCTTCACAGTGCCTTAGCTGTAATAAGATGAGAAAAATAAAGTTGTACTAGTCTTATAATTTAAAGATGTAACTTATAAGGACTAGTAAGAATGATAAAGAGAAATGTACAATAATAATTAGATAATATACTACTAAAACCCCACTCACTAAGTTATATGTGTTAGTAAGGTTGGTGGGCTGGTATAGAGATGGTTGCATTGAATCCGGATATCCGCACGGATGCGGATATCCGCTCACAATTTCTGCGGAAACACACATCCGCATCCGCATCCGCATCCGCCGGCGGATACCTGCGGATACCCGGCGAGGCAGCCGGCTCTTCCAGGAGAGTGTTTTTTTTTTTAAAAAAAAACCCCGGCCCCCTCGGCCTAGAGGGGCAGAGGCCACACCGTCGGGAGGAACCCCTCCCAACAAGCTGGTATGTGTACCAGCTTGTCGGGAGGAACCCCTCCCGACAAGCTGGTTTAAAAACCAGCTCGCCGGGAGGGATTTCTCCCGGCGGTGTGGCCTCTTGGCACCGGGTATCTCTTGGGATACCCGGATACCCGCCAGTATTTCAGACAGAAGGGTGCATCCGCACCCGCTGGCACTGGCGAGTATCCGCCAGCGGATAGCGGATATCCGCAACGGATTATCCCCGCCCATCTCTAGGCTGGTATGGTAATAATTGTCTGGGGGATGAATCTCAGGGAAAGAGTCATCCCCTTAAATATTACAGAGGAGCGGTCAAACTGCTGCTGGGACCAGCGCAGTCCCCTCATTGTTACACTATTTCTTGGGGGCAAGTGTCAGGATATTCAAAGCATGCTAAATGAACATGTGTTGAATATCTTTTATTTCAGAAAATACATGTGAGAGAGGTAAACAGAATAAATGGACGACTTCCTGTCGACATCTGCGGGTCTCCCAGAGCCAATTTAGAGCCTTGAAATTCAAATTTCTCTGTGAGAATCAAGAATTTTCAGGTCTAGATTGACTTCTGCAAGGGTCCCAGATCCAACAGGAATTCCTCCAATATTCACACAAGAGAGATAAACAGGATAATCATCTCTTGGATACACCCAAGAGATAATCATCCTTTTCAACTTGATTATTATTTTAATGGAAGAGGTAAATCTTTATTAATTTACAGAATATTTATTAACATAAATAATACATATAATAATGAATAACATTACTGAGTACTTATTAACTTAAATATTACATATAAAAATATTTATTATGTAACCCAAGGGGGTTACATTCTCTTGCAGACACCTGGGCTAGTGTCTCAGTGTATGACACTGTCAAGATCTACAGACCCTTTGGGATCAGATTTAGACCCCCTGAAATCATACCCCTAGGTATTTGAGGACTTCCTGTTGTCTCAAATTGTTTATTTAGACAGACATCCTAAACATTATTTGCTGGTGAAAACTAATTAGCATCAAGTTTTTGCCAGCCAATAAGGCTTATGAGCCCGTCCTAAATCAAGCAATTAAGGCAACATGAGTTCCTCCATTACCTTAGCAATGGTGTGCTAATGCTAATCCTTGATTGTTTGGTGTTACAGCACTTTTTAATGGAAAAAAGCCACCAAAGCACTGCAACAAGGTGTAACAGTGAGTGGGCAGAGGTAAGAGCCCCTAAGCTAACACTACATGTCAGTTTAGTGTAGTGTAGTTGAGAGTCCTAGTGATTCTCTTGGTGATTCTTTCAAGAAGGATTGCTTCTCTGGGGTTGGAGAAATATTCTGACAGATTGCTGATAGAAAAAACCCTTATTGTCAGCTTTTTTCATAACTGCTTGTGGAGTGAAAATTATGTTACACTATTACTAGTTTGAATCTCTACCCCTACACCTGCTATTTCATGTATATCATCATTTGGAATGATACTGTTAGCTCTGTTGTATTTTGAGATCGTTCTTTATATATTTTGATTGGATAGGTGCTTAGCTCTCAGGTTATTTGATCTTTTCTTCTGTACTTTGGATCTATGTATGAGTGTTGAAGTCCCAGTCTAAGGACCATCCATTCCAACAAAATGTTCAAAAGACATGCACAAGCTATTAATCTTGTGGGGAAGGCTTGAAATTGCTTCAAAAAATGAATTAAGTGTAGGAAAGGATTGTTTGACATGAGGCTAGTCTATCCAATCCCCTTTCCTGGTTCTTGGCAAGAAAGCAAAGCTTGCCCCATCACAGGGAGAGGCTTGGATATAATGTCACATTTTTGGCTGGGACAGGAGACTTTGTCTGGTGAGATTTTCTTTGTCTTTCCCTTCATGATAAGTGGTAAATGCCACACACACAACCCTGTACTAGAGCAAGACTATAGCGTTCACAGCCTTATTTATGTTCTAGTCTTCATTTGCAGGAGCCAACCAACTTGACACATCTTTTTGAAAGATTCAAAATCACAATTTTTGGCAAGCCAGGATCCCCAGGATCCAATCCTGCATATTGAAGTATCCAAAACCGTTCATGGAGAGCTGCAGGTGAACAGTTCTTCTGTTTGCTTTGAATGGCATCATTCAAATCCATACGTGGATCTTCTGAATCTAAAATATCTAAAGCAGAGTTTTTTCTTTTTAATTCATTCATCTTTTGGACCACATCCCTCAATAATCAACACATGAAGAATGACCAGAATTTGAGGAATATTCTTTTCTTCTGCAAGCGACTCTACTCATAATCTTGAAATACCATTCACAGCGGAAGGGGATGGATTGGTCACACCCCCACTCAGTGAAGTCAAGTGGAGGCAACTGATGTAAAATTAGTCTCCTGACCTGATTTTATATTGGCTGGGCCCACCAATGTATTACAACAAAGGGGTCACACGTTGGTTGACCTGGCAAATATAAAATGGGTTGGGGAGACTGATCTGATATCAGTTGCCTCCAGCCAGAATTAACTGCAGGTGTTGAAACCAATCCAACACCTTTGGTAGTGACTTGAATCATTGAAGTGATCTGTTTTTGTGACTTCAGGCTTGAAAATCCATCCTGTCCCAGCCAAGGATCAGTGTCATAAGCCTGTCCTATGGAGAGTGTCCTGAAGGGACGCCAACCAAGACTCAAGAGGCTTTGTTTGTTGGGCTGGGAAATGAGGGAAGACTGATCAGAAATGAAAAAAAAAAATGGTTGAACTAAAAACAGTTTGAATCTCAGTGTCCTGGGTAAATTTGGGATCAAATAAGCGCATCCACATTAGGCAGGATTAGGTGCACAATCTGATCCTCCCAACCACACTGGCTGGGATTAGAGACTGGATTATACTAGCTCCAGAGCCAAATCTGGAGCTAAGCGGGTATCAAATTTATACCACCCTAATCCATGGATTAGCAAGCTTGCTAATCCTCACTAATCCACTCAACCAACGCGGATGCTCTAAAAGTATACGACTGCAGAGCTTGAATTATCTGCAAGACAGGTTGAAGTCTCACTGGAGACTGGTGGGATTTTGGGTGCCCGCATCACTCCATTTTTTTCATGAAAGTATTGTCTTATTTGGTATGCATCTCCACTGCTCCCGCAAACTCAGCCTTTCCTCCAGAACACAATCATGTAAGCCCTCTTAACCAAGTCATATTCAAGCACTTCTCTCAGAGGTTGTTCAGTTGTCTGCTCTCACCCAGCTTTAGAATGCTTCCCCCCACTTGCCCGCTCATTCGAGCACAAGAGCCCAGCCCAAAAACACATCTTCATTATGTACATACCTGGACCTTTTTTTCATATGCCACATGGCAATATACTGTCCTTACTGGCCCGGTTTCATTTCCAAACAACAACAATCTAACTTGGCCAACAAAACAAAACAAAACAAAAAACCCTTGTTTTGGAGAACTCCCAGAACCACCATCTTGTGGGTGGAACTCCAAACATTCCTGAATTACAAAAGAACCAAACCAAACCAACCAACCAAAAAAAAAACTGACAACAATAATAGATGTCCCATAGACATCAAAATGCGACCAAATGAGACAAGTCCATTACAATCCAAGCCTTATACACACACAAGCTTGTCACATACCAAAATCCAAACAATCTGGGAATCCCATAATCCTTTCTTCCCATCCCAACCCTCTTCTCATCTTTCTGTTTTTCTTAGGGGGGGGGATATCCAAACCCACACACACACATCCATATTTACACACAAAACCTGATCTGCATACTGATAACAAACATCAATTATTCTAATTATTTACAACATTCATTTTCTGATCATATATATACATATATATCTTCTTTTACATCAATAACAAATCAAAAAAGGAAGAAGGAGGGGAGGTAGGGTTGCAAAGGAAAAGAAAACTCAATGAGGATAATAATAATGGTACTAACAATCACGATGATGATGAAGTTGATGATGACCGAAAAGATATGGATTGGGTTGATGAGATAAGGGCACCGATAATCATAAGAATGTGTGAGCTAGATCCACCAATCGATTTATGGTCGTGAAAGAGACAACGAGAAGATCCAAAAGACTGGATTTTTTTTTGTGAGAGCTCCAAAGAAAAAAAGGGGGGAAGGGGGGGGGGATGAGAAGAAACAAGACGAACTGGAGGAGTTCTCGACGACAAAGAAAGCAGATCAATGTGAAGAAGGAGAGTTAGTTAGCGGAGGGGGGAGGAGACAATTGGGAGAGTCTAGCGAGCACGGCGACCAATTGAAGGGGCCGATCGAGCCGATACTCGGCGAGAGTTTTCCGGGACTCGTTTTCATCGATCACGAGGGAGAAGATCGATTCGGGTTCGAGGACCGATTCGACCGGCTCGAGTTTCGGGGAAGGAAGCATATGATGGAGCGAACTAGAGCCGACGGTTGACGACGCCTTCATAGCTTGAGAGCTCATCGAAGTCGATCCAATAGCTCCACCAGTAGCGGGAGAGGAAGATGCAGTAGAGATCACAGAAGGCAGCCCGAATTGGGGGACCGAAGGCGCACTAATCGGACTATTCTGACAAGAATATGTGGCGTGCATGCTAGTGTTAGAGGAGTATCTGCGTCGGATAGGGCGCTTGGTGTTGTTGCCTGCCCCTCCTCCTCCTCCTGCTGCTGCTGCTGCTGCTGCACTACCATCCTGTGAGATCCGTTGTCCCGGTCCAATCGATGAGGATCGGGCTAAGATCGGGTAGAGCGATAAGGTTTGCGGCGGGTCGATGGTCGTCGAATGGACATGGCCCATCGCATGTCCATCCAAAGAGGCATTCGATCGCAACATCTTCAACGCCCGGAACATGTCCTCATCCGTCTTGTCATCCCCTACACATAACGCGAACCCCACATCCGGACTGGTGTATAACAGTCGCTTGACGATCTCCCCTTTGTTCGTATGCGCCGGTCGACATTCAATATTCTTCTTCCCCTTCAAGATGTCGATCGGCATTCGCTCCTGTAAGCTCTCTAATAACGCTTGGCATTCTTTGGCTAGCTCACCGCAAATCACAATTTGATTAAAATCTCGACCCATCTCTCTCAAGCTTCTACATGTAAATCGACTGAAGCACTTACCTTGGAATAAACCAAACTGCGGGTCTGCATTCCTGTAATGCCAAGTCACGCTAGAAATTTTCTTCTCAACAAAAGCGCCCAAAGTACGAGCCTCATAATCTGAAAAGAGCAGGTCAGATGCTAAACAAATCAAAAGATAAATGGAAGAAGGCAGGACGAACATTTAAAGATTTCCTCGACATCATCCATCCAACTCATATCGATATTTTCAGTCAGATCGATCCACTCCTTAGCCCCGGGTTCGCGGAGAAAACAGCCATGTTCGGCGGACATGCCCAAGCCAGCGATGGAGCCGAGATGTTTCTGTAAAAAGGAGCCATCACGACCGGAGATGATGTAGACGATGTTTCGCTCATCTGCACACAATCGTTCGAGGGCGTCTATCAATCCCGGCGGAGGAATCGCATCCTTCGGGTTCTTGACTATCGGCGTCAACGTTCCCTATATGATCGTCAAACCCAATCAACATCAACGTTAAAAACACCAAATGCCAGAGAGAGAGAGAGCAAAAGGCTCGATTCGAATATGTCCTATGGTGATTAAGAACGTACATCATAATCAAACAACAACAGTCGTTTGTTGGCCTGCTTATACTTCTTGACCATATCCTCCTCGTCCAACAACTTGACGGATTCCTTAGTCTGATCGCTCCTCAGACACTGCAGAAGTTGAAGCAAAAGTGTACTGGCCCAGACCGAAGAGGAATGAGATTTAACTCGACTATACAATTGCTGTAACGACAACCAGAAAACAACATTGTTCAGAAAAGGAGTCAGTTGAATGAATGGGCTGATTCGATAAGATAAAAGGTATTTCATTCTTACCGCATGTCTCGTCACTTTCTCTGCTTCTGACATGTTCAAACATTGATCAATTGCACGTGCCACGTCCTACAAAACCAATCAACGTGTTCGGATGAATCTCGATACGGAGAAAACAACCAGGGAGAGATGAATTCCACCCTAAAAAAAGAATAAGCAGAGAAACTTACACCCAAGTCCCAAGGATTCACCTTAACGGCCGACTTCATCGAGCCAGTGACGCCAGTAAACTCGGACAAGATCAACGGGTTCTTGTTTTCTTCTTGACAGATAGTGTATTCCATCGACGTTGTATTCATCCCATCTCTGATCGACGTGATCACCGCCAGATCGGCTACTGATAAGAGTGCAAAATATTCCTATTTGTCACACATGAAGGAGAAAAAAAAAGAAAAATGAATGGCTCATTTAGAACGATTATGATGATCAAGCGTGTGAACGAAGAAAGAAAACTAACATCTCGTTCGATCGTTTGGTGGTAATGATGGACCGGTTGGAAATGTAAAGTACCATAGGTGGCATTGATGTGATCGACGAGCTCGGATATCTTGGTAGCAAGCTGAGGCGAATCGGTTGGGGAGGGCGAAGTGACTTGGATCAAAACCACTCGATTCCTCCACTGCGGATAGCTTTTTAACAAGTATTCAAACGCTTTGAGCTGTTGTTTTCATCATAATCAGCATCATCACAGAATCAAGTAATCCGGTTTTAATTTCGGGAGACGATCGCTCTGGTCTATCGGTCGGTGTTAGACAGAAATACTTACTTTGTGAAGCACTCCCTTTGTGGGATCCAGCTTATCTCTGCCAATGATGATCTTTTTGCCCTCGTAGAGTTTCCTCAGAGCGTCCATTTTAGGTCTCACCCCAGGCAATTGTCTACAAATACACACAAATATAAAACATCAACAAAAAAAAAACACGGACACGAAAAAAAAGGAAGGGAAAGGATGGATAGAGGAGCCAACTTTTCGAGTTCGATTCTATCGGCATCGATCCCGATGGGACAATACGTGATGTCCGTGATCATCCCGTTACATTCGATCCCATTGCCGACAGATTCCAGGCCCATCACTCTGATGCAAGCCGAGATAAAATGTCTGCCATATGAATAGGTTTGGAAACAGAGCTAAAGACATATCATCAGTCCTCTGAAAACAAGCCGGGACGCTTTTTTTACGAGAAAAAGGATTGAGGGAAGGACTGACTAGATCGGCTCCAAGCATCCCATCTAAAATCTCTTCTCGTCGCGGCAGACATCGGAAAAATTCGCTCGATGGGAACGGCGAATGTAAGAACAAACCGACATGACATTTCGGCAACATTTTCCTCAACATCCTTGGGACCAATAACAAACTAAAAAAATAAATAAACATCCACACAACAACGATCAATTAGTATTATGTACATTTGAGGGTTTATTTTGATATGACGTACTGGTAATCTTGGATCCATATCAAATCTCCAGGCTGATAAACACTAGCGATCCGTTTCGCAAACGCATAGTTCACTTCCTCATACGCTTTCCAGGCTAGATTTTCTTCCTTTTTGTCCTGATGTTCTGACAGGGGCATGTAATGAAAGATAGGCCAAAGATATCTTTGTTTAATGATAGAAGATGAAACAAATATTCAGACCAAACCCCCAGATTTTTCAGGAAATGTTTTTTTTTTGAAGTGATAGAAAAGGAGAGAAGAGGAAGAGGAAGAAGACCGACTTTTTACAGAAGCCTTCATAATGCAAGCCAGCGGAGCGATCGCCGACCCAAACGGGGACGCATTCGATTCCTCTCTTGGGGCCATTAGGATCGATGGGAAGTTGATGATGATCATTGAGGGGGCTCTGATCGGGGGAGGCGGATCGAGCGAGATGGCGGAGGCCGGAGTCGAGGCTAAGTTTCTGGAGCTCGGAGAGCTTGCTAGCCTCGATCGGCTCGGGCAGCTCGTTGGAATGATTAGCGATCCGGATGTCCGCCGGATAGGCACAGAGGGTGATCGAGCGGTAGTTCGATAACGACTTGATCCCCGCATTCAACGCGGCATGGCCCCGACGAGGCTCCAGGATCCATTTGAAGGCCGGTTCCTCTTGCTCTTCATCGGCCGTGAGGGTGGATGGTTGAAGATTATCACTACTATGATTGTGATTGTGAGTATTATTATTATTATTATTACGGTGTGAGGCGACGGAGGAGACTGGGTTGAGGGTAGGGTTGGTGACCGAAGTGGGAGCTGGAATAGAAGTGTCGAGTAAGGAGCTTGTCTTGGATGCAGAGAGGATGCCGGAAGAAGGGATTGGGGTACAAGTGGGCGAATGTAAGCTTTGAGGGTGCGTGAGTAGGTCCCCGGGTCTGATCTCGAGTGATTGACGGAAGGTTGAGTTATGGGAGGCTGTTAGAGGGGTGGTGGGGGAAGGTGGAAGTTGTTGGTCAGGTTTTACAGAGGCCTGTTGTTGTTGTTGTTGTTGTTGTTGTTGCTGCTCGGGGATGGTGTTGGTGTTGGTGGTGTCAGTGGTGGTGGTGGGATCGAGGTGGAGGTTGCAGAGATAGGGGAGTGCATGGCATGCCATGATCACATGGCCGGTCAACTTGAGTTTGCCCTTGGACCTGATCTCCTCCTCGATGAGCGATATCCGGTGGCGAATGTTATGCAGCTCGGGTAGGCCGTCCAGCTGGGGTGGCTCCCAATCATCCTCATCGGGCCTGTGTAATAATAAGTGTTGATGGTAGTCGTGCATGTTGGTTGGTTGGTTGGTTGGTTGATGATGATGATGAGAGAACGGAAGAGTACACTAGGTCAGTTTGGAGTGCATAGCTGCAAGGGAGGGAAGATGTAGGAAGAAGGATGCTGACCTCTCCTGAGCTAGACCATAGTGAACCTGAGCACGATCGTACATTTTATTGCTTTATCTTGTTGGGGCTTCTGTTTGGTCAGGTCACAGAGGGAAAGGAAGTCAGTCAGTTGAGGCAGGCTGCAGCTTGGGTGGTTCTTGGTGATGGTGCTTTATCTTCGAGGGCAGTCTACTCGAACCTTCTTCTTGTCCTACCACTGTGCTTCGATTGTTTTGCTTGTTCAGACTGTCAAGCAGTGTCAAGCTCGAAGAATAAAAAATGTTCAGGAATCTTCAGGAAATCTTCAATCGATCATTCATCGAACCCACCAGAACCACTCTCACCCCCGCCAGAGCACACAGCTTGATCGCTGCTGCACTGTACCCCAGCCACAACAGCTGAGGCTCCAAACCCAACGAGCTTCTATCTAAATACATAGATCTCCTCGATCATGGAACTTTCGAATAAAGTCTCATTTGTCGAGCAAAAACATTCTTCCGGGCCATGAATCCATCATGATGACCGCACTAGCACAGGCTGATAGATATCAAGGATCGATGACATCTGTGTTCCATCCAGCGTGAAAATATTTACAAACAAACCAAAAATTTTGCAAAGTCTTCTTCTTGTGTACTGAGGTTTTATCTGGTTTTGTCCAACAGATGATCAACAACTGGCAACCATTTCAGGATCCCAACTAGATGGCTTAGATTAAGAACTATCCCAGACAAAAGGGAATGGTTACGCCTCAATCAACCTCTGAAAGTTTCTAAAAAAGAAAGGATATCAACTGGGGTGGTCACAGCATCCTATAAACAATACAAGACCAATCCCTCGTTGACAACCTGAGCTGTCCAAGGGGGATCAGGTCTGTCTATTATGCTCTTTCCTCTCTTGTCACAAAAAAAAGACAGGATTCTGAAAAGAAAAGTGTTCTGTGGACACTTATTTTTGGAAAATCTGGACTGCTATAACCCCACTGTAAAAAAAAAAACTAGCCCCAAGTAAACATTTGTTGCTAGTCTCTGACAGAATAGATATTCAGGATAGTTTGGCTGATAGATCTCAACCATCTTTGTGTTTTCTTGTTCTACATATGCGGTCCATTTCCAAGAATAAAGCATTGAAGACCAACCTTGTGGATTGTTGATGAGTGTTTTAAAGAAACTTCTTTTTGGGTTCTTGTGCAGCAAAGTACATATCAACAGAAATGATAATGCTTCTCATCCAACAATACCTTCCAATCAGCCTGCAGGTATTGGCACATACATCTTTGGTAGAACTTCAAACTTTTACAAGTGGAAATGAAACGTGGAGAATATCTGGTGAACCTAGCATCTATCAGTGCTACTCAATATTGATTCAATCCCAGACAGCTTTCACAATCATGATGACATACTTGAATGAAGTGATGCCCCCATTCCCATAATTATTGCTCTGATTGAATGATTCAATTGATGCAGAGCCATTAAATCAAAAGAGCCACACAATACCTTGAAACTCTGCTTTTTTGAAGGTGATCACACCCAAACCAGAAAATTTGCAGATTTGTTCTCCACTTTGATTGAGTGGCACATTTTCCTCCATATGTGAATTCTAAACCATTATTCTAATGAACAAAAGAATGCTCTAAGACATGAACATAATTCAACATTTAAATCCCTAAATTCAACCAGCCTCAGCATCTCCTTGCTAATACCAATGTCCAAGAATCACAATTGACTGCAACAAGCAATAGTTAGCTCAGGCCTGGTGGTAATGATAGGTCAGGACAGATATAGAACAACAATGTCTGGAATGGGCTTTCCAAGGAGTGAACTGGAAAGCTACATACATTGCCATTGAACATTGGGAAATACTTGGGCAAAAACAGTGCACAGGAAGCCATGTCAAAAAAGGGTTTTGTTTTTTGAGACCTTTCCAAGATTTCTTGGAAGTATGTGAATAACTATGAGAGCCCAGATAGTGAAATTGAATTCTCCCCCCCCAAAAAAAAGGAAAATGATAACAGTGTTGATATTTTAATTTCAGAGAATTTGAGACAACTGTCCCAAGGGGAAGGTTTGGGGTTCCTAACTCCTATGACAAAGAGAGAAGAGAATAATTTTGTTGTTGTCTAGTTTAGTGCTGAGATATCTATTGCGCCAAAAATTAATCAGCAGTCAAGATGTGCTGTTAAATTCCATAAGACAGCTGCTCGATAATTTATTTACTGGATGGACTTGATGTAAAATGAAGCAAAACACAAACCTTCGATTTATACAGTTTTACATGCGTCTCATGAGCAATGATACAAGAGTGATTCTTTTTGATGATAAAGAAAAAAAAAAGTGAGCAAGATTGATAAAAAAAAATGTATCCAGTAAAAGCAGGAAAAAAAAGGTGATCCTACATAAGTTTACGATTGTAAGATCTTTGTTTGCGTTTTTTCTTCTTCTGTTTCTTAAGTTTTCTGAACCGATCATTTTGAGGCAAGTGAGGTTCGGGTTGAGGCCAGTGGATCATATCCTCTGCCGAAAAGGGAGCGACCAAGCCGGGGACGAAGTAGATGCCTTGTTCGAGTATCCTATACCCGTATGGGGATGTTGGTGAATAGATATATTGAGCAGGGCGACGACCAGTAAGATCCAATACAGGCTGTGATGTAAAAAGTCAAGTGAGCAATGGGGTCGGTTTGGGTGTTCATGATACATAGATCTCGTCTTGGGAAGACTGACCTCCTCTGGTAAGGATGAATTTAGCTCCGGGTATAACATCCGGGTAAACATCATTACCGCGTCGCGATGTCCACGTGCATGGGCTTGCTCTATGAAGTCAAGTAAACGACGGCGATGCTGCTGCTCCTCCTCCTCGGTGGGCAACGGTGTGGCATCCGCTACGTCGACTGTTGGGTCTGTTGGATTAGTCGTTCCGATTGAGGTATCTCTTTCGTCCGCCAATGACGGTCCTTGCCTTGTGCTATCAAGTGAAGTATCCTGGACGTTTGCCAAACTGACATCGGAGATATTTCCGTCTGTGATTTGGGTAACATCCTCACTTGTGTGGTTTGTTGGGTCGGCTAATACGGCTTGATCTACTTGCACAGTAGAATTTTGATCGTTGATATTTGGCGGCGTGGCGCTGATAGGCAGAGTGATGGCCGTTCCCTCCTCTTCTTTCAAGCCAGCGAAAAATCGGGAAAAAAAGATGTATGCAGTCAATTTAGAATCAGTTCTTGTATGTTCGAAAAAAAAACAGCGATGCTGAGAGCGACGGGAAAAATTACTTTGGTTGTTCGGCTCGATCAAAGTATCGGGCACGGGTGCAAGTGTGGATTTCGGGACTACTGGATCCTGATGGGATGATTCCCCAGACGCTATTGAGAACGCTACGGCCAATGGCTGTTTCGAAGCTTCGGGAGCTTGTGTGGTGGATCGGTCGCTAGACATGGTGCTATTAATGTTTCATAGATTTGGTCAGCACACATGAGATCAAAAAATGTGATAGAGAAAACAGGCATTTGTGGGTGATAGGCTCAACGTACTTGTGTCAGATGAGGGAGAAGCTGAGAGATGGGGTGGCGGGCAACTAGAAACTCGCAACAAGAAGATCGATGTACGACTACGGTTCCTGGAATGATTTCGGAATCCTTTTGTTTGATGACTTGATGGAATGGCGATTGGAGTTGAATGGTACTAGTTCGATCTTGGGATGTTAAAGGTTGCAATCTACATAAACACCTAATTCCACTTCCTCCTTAGTGTATGCAACCTTCCTTTCAAACGAAAGCCAGTACGAATCTTAATGAAGGCCGCTAGAAGGAGATGAGGAAACTGCTGTTCCTGGATTCTCTCTTCATGACATTCACCCCCGAACTTGGTTGGCGAGCTCCCGGGGTGAAGCTCCTCACGTTAACGAAGTCCCCCCGAAGGCAGTGGCGCACATGCCCTACATGCTTACATAATGCAACTGGAGGGACTGAGTCTGTGTGCATGGCAACTGAACTACCATACCATTCTGTAACGATGTTCGTTAACTTGAAGAAATCGTTAAAGATTAGTCAAGTTAGTGAATCGATCTAGGTAGTTTTATTCATTCGTCATGCGCATTTCTGTTGTGATGTCATGATCAAATTGCCTATGACGCAATTGTAGATAAATTGTTGTTTTTCATTTTATTTCTTTTCTTCTTATACTCTTTGGTTGTTCCGCTTCCCGGTTGTTCTTTCCTCCTCATCGCGATATTCCTGTTCTTTGTTTTAGCATTATAAAATATACTCAAAATTATTATACTTAAAATAAAATATAAGACTATTTACATTATAGATTTTCATATTGGTTGAAAAGGAAATCTACCTTTATTTATTTATCTCTTAGCTTTAGGCGAGTTTATCTCTTGATAAACTTCATAGCCACTAGCGGTTAGAGTTATAGATAGGGCCTCACAGTTATATCGCGATCTTTTATTCAGAGTGATCATCAAGCTTTGAAGTTAATAAATTTTTTCTGCTGTCATGTCGGATGACAATTCTCAACCTTCACCGATAACTCCTATTCGTGTGTCCCCACCCAGTACACCATCTTGTCAAGATTCAGCCACTGCTGATTCTATCACTACCTCGGACTGTTTCCTCAACCGAGTGTTTAACCGTAAGTCCCAGATCAGTCCAGAACCAAAAGAGGCTTTTGACCCTGTTTTGTGAGAATCATCCACTAACTTCCTGTGCCCTCACTACCGATACTATAGTTATCGATGGACAAGGGACTGAAGTGGGCCAGACTGACCAGGCGGGACCTACCATGATGAATCATGATGTTATGCAATAGGCATCAAACTACTGTAAGCTCGGCCGGATGAGAGTACCCGCCCAGAACTATAAAAGAAAGCTTACTCACTCTTATCCTCGCTTTCTGGTCATCTGCATCTCTTTCCCCTTTTCAGATCACCCACCAAGCTTTTAGCCTTTACCACTTACAAACCTTTTACTTTAAACTTCTCCCATCAAAACAAGCTTGCGACGACCTCGTTCCGCACCCTTGTATTCTCTGTCTGCTAGCACTTCTCCCATTCTTCTTTTCTCGCTTCTATAGCGCTCTTCTCATCCTTTTCTTTCTTGCTCTCGAAAGCGTTCTGTCCGCTTCTTTTCATTTCTACTTCGTGTACCATACGCTTTGCACCGTTTCTCCTCCTTTCCCACATCCTTGTTATTCTTACAGCCTCATACTCGTACCTTTGCCTTCAAGGTACAGAAGCCTTCTTTCTTCTCTTTTATCTTGTTCATATTCTCTTTCTTTGTAAAAGCTTCATCTGACTTTGGAATTATAACTTCAAGTTTTCCTATTTTAACACATCTCCCATCGTCAATAATTCTCTTCCTACTCCCTTCTTTACTATTGGTACTCCGTCACCTGTTGGAACTCCTTTCATTCAATTCTCCCCGCGACCTCTTCCGGAACCAATTCACATCCCCTTCTATCGCCGAACGGATCCTCCTATGTTCATTAATCCAAGTCCGTTCGAACCACGTCCCAATCCTCAATCTCGCCCTCCCGTGTCAGTCCCGCCTCCGGTTGTGGACGACAACAACGTTTCGTCTTTACTTTCCAATTTGCAAATCGACAATGATGTCCAATCTCATTCGGTTTCGTTACACGCTCAAGCCATCGCTGATCTCAAGTCTCAATCTCGTCAAGACAAGGCGACCATTCGAGAACTGAAGACCGGTCTCGCTGAGGTCAAGACGGAGATGGGTCAAATGAAGAATGTCTATCATAATGAATTCCTTCAAATGTGATCATCGTCTCACACGGATCTGCTTCAGTTGCGCAATACAATCGATTCTCTGTCTTCTAACTCTGGTGCTCGAATGGATTGGTTGGAGCAATTCAATTCTCAACCGGTTGTACCAGCTAAGAAGACCTTTGTTGATCCTGCTCATTACTCTCATATATTCTTCTCTGGTGCTCCTAAAGAAACTAATGCATTTTGCTTCTTTATGAGGAACACCTTGGAACGATTGGGTAGTCAGTTTGCCGATGAAAAACATAAAGTGTTATGGCTGTCAGGTTATTTTCGTTCAGAATCTGGCCGACTGGGAGATGTCTGTCCTTCGTATAATTGGTGGCGAGGTCTGTTGGGAAAGAATGCTCAACTTCAAGGTCTAAACTCGTTGACGGCATCGTCTTGGGTGTCGTTTGTTTTGCCGGAATTGATGGATGCGGACGATTTTTTGGTGGCAATTGAAACCACCTTCTCCAATCATTGAGAGGTGGAAGATGCTCGTAAAGCGTTGAAATCAGCTCGTCAAGGTTCCAAGACCGTCGAAGAATTCAACATCATTTTCAACTCCCTGCTGTATTCGGTCGACTTGTCGGAAGCTTCCAAATGTGAAATCTACGATGAAGCAATCAATCAAGACATCGTCAAGTTAGGAATGTTTTGAGGGGGTTGGACTACTCTCACCACCTTGCAAGCGAAACAAGCTATGGCGGTGAGTTTGTCGTTGGATTTGGGCGGCGTGGGATTTTATGAGAAGGGCATTCGTCAGAAGGCAATCAATCAGGTTGCTAATCAACAACGATTGGACTCGCATCGGGCCGCTACGCATCATCCGTTGACTTCTAACACTGATTCAGGTCCGATGGACATCGACGCGATGATTGCTGCGGAGATGGAGGCGACTGGGTTCTTGTGTGCAAATTGGAGAAAAGTGGCTAGAGAACGCAAACTCTGTGTTCGTTGTGGTCGCCGTTTCAATAAGGATCACAGAGAGATCCACGGTTGTCCTCTGGATCCTGACGATCATATCAAATCAGACGGTATGTTGGCGATGTGGCGAAGGTGGGGAGGACCGACTCGGGAGAATGGTCGCGAAGCAACGGCTGATTGGATCCCTCAGGCTTCTTCGTCTCGCTCTGAAAACATTTCCGCGGCTGGTCAACCGGATTGTCGGCCTTCTCAACGCAAAAAGGGCAAGAAACGCAAGTCGCTTTCCGAGTTAGACAACCAACCCTTGGCAAAGCATGCTTCGGAGTCTGGGTTGTTCTCTGGGGCTCGGTTGGATGATAATCCTAGGGGTGAAGGGAGCGGATTGGTGGCGGATGCAATGGAGGCACAACCGCCTATGTCGGCGGGGGAGTTATTTTTCGCTTCCAGGTTGGCTGACATGCATGTCAAAGATTGTAAGCAATTCACTTATGTTAAAAAGGTTTTTTCCGGTGATAATCGTCCTTTCTTTAAAGGAAAATTGATGAAGGGTGTTGAATCACAAACTGATATTTTGGTTCTGGTTGATTTGGGGGCATCGGCTTCTTTTGTTAATGAAGAGTTTGTACGGATTAATAAGATTGATACTTGTTTGTTAGATCTCGGACTTCAGTGTAATTCCTTTGACGGTTCACCTGCTTCATCGGGAGAGATTACTTTGTTTGTAAAAGGGGATGTCGTCATTCCCACCTTAAGTGGATCATTTCTTTTATCTCATGTGAAGTTGTTTGTAACAAAATTAGCATCAGCTGATGTAATATTGGGTAGTCCTTGGTTGAGGGACTCTAATACTTTTATAGGGGGACTAAATAATGATATTGTCATTTATGATTGTGTCCAGCAGATCTCGAGTGTAAATTGTGACGAAGGGAAAATTTTGGTTGAGACGTTCTCTGATGTTTTCGTAACGGAGGCTGTGGCTGATTTGCCTCCTCATCGATTGGGCTTTGATTGTCAAGTTAATCTGAAAAAAGGGTCTGTACCTCCGTTTGGTAAGATGTACAACTTAAGTAAGGACGAACTTGACGAGTTAAAGGCTTATGTAGAGGATAACGTGAAAATAGGTTTTATTTGTGTTTCTTCTTCTTCTGCGGCTGCTCCTATTTTTTATGTTAAAGTGGCAGGAAAAGCTAATCGTCCTTGTGTTGATTATCGGATTTTGAACAACATGACGATTTGAGATTCTTACCCTCTGCCAGTTATAGGTCATTTGTTAAATAATTTACACGGGTGTAAATTTTTATCAAAGGTCGATCTCAAGGCGGCATTCAATTTGTTACGCATGGCTCCTGGTGATGAGTGGAAAACGGCGTTTCGCACACCCTGGGGTCTCTTTGAATATCAGGTTATGCCTTTTGGGTTGGCAAATGCGCCAGCTACTTTTCAGCGGTTCATCCAGCATGTATTGCGTGAGTATCTCGACTTCTGTTGCTTTGTTTATATAGATGACATTTTGATTTTCTCCAGGACAAAGGAGCAACATTTAATCGATCTTACTAACATTCTACAAAAGTTGAGAGAAAACTCGTTGAAAGTCTCTTTGAATAAATGTGAATTCTTTTGTTCGAAGGTAACTTTTTTAGGTTTTGACATTACTGATACGGGTTTGAAGATGAATTCTTCGAAGCTGGATACGATTGCGAAGTGGCCCTTTCCAACCAACTTGAAGGAACTCCAACGGTTTTTAGGTTTTACGAATTTTTATAGACGATTCATTCCTAACTTTTCTCAAGTGGCTGGTTCCTTAACTAATATCACAAAGGGGAAGGTTGTGGATTTATTGGCGTTTAAATCTCATAATGTAAAACAAGCTTTTGCTGACTTGAAATCATTGTTTGTCAGTGAACCTATGTTATTACATTTCACCTTTGATCAGGACAGGACGGTTCATGTAGACAGCTCCGGTTATGCTATAGCAGTGGTTCTTAGTCAGCCTGATTCTGGTGGTAGATATTGGCCGTTCAGCTACTTTTCAAGAAAACTTTTGGATCGTGAGCGCTCCTGGCCTATTTTCGATTTGGAACTGTTGGCTATAGTTTCAGCCTTTGTAGAGTGGCGCGCTTGGTTGATGGGGACGAAAAATCCAGTGTCTGTCTATTCTGATCATTCTAATTTGTTATATTTCAAAACGGCTAAACATCTTTCTCCCAAACAAGCGCGATGGGCTAATTATTTAGATAATTTCAATATGCTCATTTTTCATATTGCAGGGCGTAATAACCCGGCAGATGCGCCGAGTAGAAGGGAGGATTTTGTAGATGAGAAGCATGTTCGACGAGACGCAGAGTCTATTACTAGAAATATGGTATCCATGGATGTTGTGCAATCTGCAGCTACTCATTTTCGCTGGCATGATTTGCATTTTCAGAAGCCTAACACGACGTTGTTAACTTTTTTTGAAAGGTCTTATACTGATCAGGATAGGTTGACGAGGGGTGTGAAGCTAATTGATGGGTTTTATTGGCATTTTGATAGGATTTTTGTCCCATCAGTTTTGCGAACAAACATTTTGAAGATGTACCATGAAGCTCCGACGGTTGGTCATCCGGGTATAGCGCGAACTCTGTCTCTTTTGACAAGGAGTTTTTCTTGGCCGGCTGTTAAGGATTCAGTAATTAAATTTGTCAATAGTTGCGATTCATGCCAACGAGTTAAAGCCCGTCGCCGAGCTGCTGATGGAAAGTTGGTATCGATTGTCCCTACTCCGCGGCCTTGGAGTGTAATTGGTATGGATATGATTGTAAAGTTACCTACTGCTGGCGGGTTTGATTCTATTTTAGTAGTCATAGACCTGTTGAGTAAGCTTACCCATTTCATTCCTTGTAATGAGGCATGTTCTTCAGCAGTTTTGGCGACTCTTTTTAGGAAAAATATTTTCAAGTTTCATGGTCTTCCTGATAAAATTGTGTCCAACAGAGGTAGCACCTTTGTTAGTGATTTTTGGAAATCCCTGATGCTGTCGTTAGGTATACAATCTGGGTCCTCAACGGCTTATCATCCTCAGACGGACGGACAAACGGAACGGATGAATCAAGTTTTGGAGGATTATCTGCGGCACTTTTGTTCATATTATCAAGATGATTGGCACAAGAGTTTGGACATGGCAGAATTTTCGATCAATAACTTGGACTCGGCCAGTTTGAAGATTTCACCTTTTTTCTTTACCTATGGTTTTCATCCTAAGTTTAACATATTAACTGAATCAACGGGACGGAAGGGTTTGGACGATTTTTTGGTAGATTTACAGATTACACAGGAAACGGCTATTGAATGTTTGACGCAGGCTCGTATTAAGCAAGCATTCTACTACAACCAAGGTAAAAGAGACGCGCCGGTTTATGCTGAGGGTGATAGAGTTCTTTTGTTACGTAAGTTTATACAGACACGTCGGCTAAATTCTAAATTGGATTACAGGTATATTGGGCCATTTACGGTTGAAAAGATGATTGGTAAGAATGCGGTGAAGCTTGAAATTCAAAAGGACTATCCGCTTTTACATCCCGTTTTTAATGTTTCTTTGTTAGTCCGGTATGAAGATCCTATGGCGGTGAATGATCGTGGTTTGGCGTATGGGCTTAAGGATAGATATTATACTGATGACCAGGTCGTAGATTGGACGATGGTCCGCGCAATACTGGATGAACGGTCGGTGAGTAAAGGTAAAGTGGATTATTTGGTAGCATGGAAAGGTGCTACGGTGGGTGAAAACACTTGGATTGCTGAGAAGCATATTCCAGAATCGGCTAAGAGTCATGTGGAATTATTCAAGTCGATTTATATTTCAAAGTATAAAAAGAAGAAAAATAAAGCGGTACAAGCTTTGGGACAAAATGGGGTAGTAGGCGGGCCTGTTTTGTAACGATGTTCGTTAACTTGAAGAAATCGTTAAAGATTAGTCAAGTTAGTGAATCGATCTAGGTAGTTTTATTCATTCGTCATGCGCATTTCTGTTGTGATGTCATGATCAAATTGCCTATGACGCAATTGTAGATAAATTGTTGTTTTTCATTTTATTTCTTTTCTTCTTATACTCTTTGGTTGTTCCGCTTCCCGGTTGTTCTTTCCTCCTCATCGCGATATTCCTGTTCTTTGTTTTAGCATTATAAAATATACTCAAAATTATTATACTTAAAATAAAATATAAGACTATTTACATTATAGATTTTCATATCGGTTGAAAAGGAAATCTACCTTTATTTATTTATCTCTTAGCTTTAGGCGAGTTTATCTCTTGATAAACTTCATAGCCACTAGCGGTTAGAGTTATAGATAGGGCCTCACACATTCCCTTTTGTTTGCCACTCACTCACCCAAACCAAAATTGGAACACCAAATGGGCATCAAACCCTGCCAGGGTTATCCACCTGATGTATGGTATTTTTCAGCTCAGAATAATGATGAGAGGTTTTTGATGGGCCAAAAATTACCAATGATCGATCCTCTTTGGAATTGGGCCTCCAATGTTATAGAAAAAATTAAACTAAACAAACTTGATTTCATTTTCAACATGAACTATTCTAGGGATTGCTATGTCATCGGCTTAGTTGGAAGCAGGCCTCAACCATAAGTAAGAGGTCAGGAATGGCAAAAGTCAAGAGTCTGAAAGATTCCTGAGACTGATTGGCTTCCCATCTAATAACGTTATGTGGATTCCTGACTTTGCACCTCCCAATGAGAGCCATTGGGATACCAACTGAACTGAGACCACTTGCATTGATTCAGGCTGAAATGCTCTAGTTGAGTCAACCCAATCCAACTTCAAATGGAACCTACAATTTACATTGGTGTTTTGGCCTATCAGAAGTCCAATCCAATGCAGTGATCACCTCTATTCATTGTTCCTCTGAGGCTCCTCAGACAAAGTGAATCCCATCACTATCTCAGCTTTGTTCCAATACAACTCAATATGATTGGTGTCCATAAGACAGCTACATAATCTGAGGCTACAGCCATAACGATTCAAGTTTAATGGATGACTTCCCGTTGGCATTTACGACCCTCGCAGAATTTGATTTACACCACAAAGCTCTTGATTTTTGGCAAAAAATAATATCCCTTCATAAGCCTTGTAGTGAAAGCCCTCATATGAGCTAGTTTTGGTTGCGATTCGAGTGTTAATTTAGAACTGGGAGAGGTCTAAAAAACGCTCTAAACCGCGACGGGAAGTCCTCCAATAGCCCATTTTGTATCTGCTCAAGTCTCTCAAATTACACAAAAGAGCCCCCAAATCCGGGTGCTTCTGATCCATTCAGCTCAAACCAGATCAGGACAGCCTTTGAGAGACTGGTTGGTTGATGGCACCAATATATTGGCTGTTCTCAAGACAGTTGTATTACAACCATGGGCTGCTGCGCTTTTTTGCCCAAAAAGCATTAGCAACATAGCGGGGGGGTTTTGTTTTGTGTGCCAAAAACGTGTAGTGTTAGCAACAAAAAGTTGGTGGTTTTTTGCTGCGCTATGGGTTGCTATAGGGCCCAAATGCCGCTAACCAGTTTGATAGTGCCGTGTAGCGGGCACTTTTTAGGGGCCTACACATGGCGGAATTACGCTAAAGGAATTCGGCTATGTTACGCTGGGCTAACTACTGCTAAAGTTAGTGTAGCAGCCCATTGATGACAGTTGGTAGCTTTGCTTGGGCTCCAATGGATCAATCAAACAATGATTTTCACAGCCATTTCCAGGCTATATAGGGATCTTAAAGTTAAGGTGTGAGATGAGAATGATCTCCAAGAACCTGGCTATGAAGGTAGGCCTTCCTCACAATATTCTCATGATCCAAAGGCCGGAACAGGAATTTGCATGGCTATTGTGGAACTTGCAATAGCTACAACTGTTCCCTCGTCTCAAACATTCACCAGCTCAGTTTGTTACTGAAATTTTCTTTAGCTGTTAATTAAGGCTATCATCACAGAAGACAAGAAAACATGTATTTATTTTCTCTTGAGACCTACAACCAGAATCATGTATGTAGAACCTAACAAAAAAATAAGTTTTTTTTGTCCATATACAGAGAGAAAAAGCAACTTTTTTGGTCTTTGACAGTGGGTTTTTTACTTGGAGATATTTACATATAAGCAGTCAGTCAAATATACGAGTTATTATTTCGTGCATCTCTTCTTGTAAAGCGAAAGATCTTTGGGGAAGCCACTTGATAAAGAAAGAAGAGGTGTACATCTTGATTTCAATGACTAGAGCAGCAAAAAAAAAACAAAAAAAAAGATGTGTGAAGGAACATTTGAAGAAGATTTACTACACATAACAAAAAAGGAGAAAGGAGAGAAGGTTAGGATGTGAAAGAGAAAAGAAAAAGAGGGTGACTAGAGGCGTAGTTAACTAGTATTAAGATTATTGTTGGCAAGGTTAATGATTTTTAAACGAGCCCGCGATAAATTCAGATCGTGTCCAAATAAAAGTAAAAGCTAAGTTGATCAGAAGAGGCGATCGAGAGAGCAAGACAAAACAAAAAAAAGACCGAGTCGGGCGTTTTCCCTGTGTCATCTTGCTCTTTCCCAATTTCAATCAATCGCTCGGTCAATCGGTCAGCCAAGGATAAGATTATGAAGGATTTATAGGAAGACACACAGCCCCAAGCAAGCAAATAAAGAAGACGATAATGATAATCAAAAGTTGAGAGAAAGACAGAGAGAGATGGAAAGAGAGAAGGTCAAGGAGATCCGATAGGGAAGGGGACAAGTGATGGTCAAGAAGATCAGCTAGGCGCGCCTGATTTCTTGACGTTCTGGCTCAACCATGAAAGTCCTGTTTTGGAGTGGCAAAAAAAGAGGGGACGATCCCAAACAGATTGAGTCTAATGCTTCAATGAGACGGAGGAGAAGGAAAAGTACCTTCGAACAATCCATCACCTGCGAGCGCATTACTGGGATGACAATACCACGACCGATCTTTCATCTTGTGTAACCCCAACCGTTCGGTCACTTCCGTAGGAGACATAGCTAACAGACATGTTTTTTTTTTCGATCGAGTGGATTCAGTCAGTCACACAATTGAACGAGTAGGAGAAAAGAATAGGTTTGAATGATGTGAAACTGACCACCAGGTAGATCCTGTTTGTTGGCAAACACTAGTAGTAAACAGTCTTTCATCTCTCGATCACTTAGAATCCGATGCAACTCTTGTCGGGCTTCTTCGATTCGTTCTCGATCCTGATATCATCCCGATTTCCGATTGTTCACAAGATCGAAAGTGTGAGTAAGAAATGATGTCCTCCCTATGAGACAGAGGAAGTATGAAAAGAGGGAAAGTACCTGAGAGTCGACGACAAAAACCAAGCCTTGAGTACCGGTGTAATAATGTCTCCAAAGCGGGCGAATTTTATCTTGACCGCCGACGTCCCAGACGTTGAACTTGACGTTCTTGTAGGTCACCGTCTCGACGTTGAAGCCGACCGTCGGGATCGTGGTGACTGATTGGTTGAGCTTGAGCTTGTAGAGGATCGTCGTCTTGCCTGCCGCATCGAGTCCCAACATCAAGATACGCTACATGTCATCGTCAAAAAAAAAGAACGGCCAGGGGAAGACTCGTCAGCCTCGTTTCATGGCTGCTGGATCTCCAATCGTCCCGTCAAACTGACCATTTCTTTGTTGCCGAGCAGTTTTCCTGTGGTTATGGCAAACAGAGCAGGAAATACATAGGCGTCGTACGATGTCAGTTAAAACGACACGCCGCAAATCCAAGAAAAAGGGAAGTCTATTCTCGATTGACGATCCACATCTGGAACAAACAAGATAGACTTAAAGGACGAACCGAGAGCTTTTGAAAGACCGCCGCCCATGATTGAGGATGGATGTTCTGGAAGGTGATTGTGATTGAGTTTGAGTTTATGTATGTTTGGTGAGAGGTTGAAGTTTGGGTTGGAGGAATAGAAGAAGAAGAAGAAGGTTAGGAGGAAAGGTGAATATGATTGGGTTTGAGGTAAAAGGAGTGTCGGGGGAGGAGGAGGAGGAGTGGAAGGAAGGGGAAGAATTCAGTTGGGAAGAGTTGACTGGCCCGGTTGGGAGACTCGAACTGGACTTGCAGGCCACTCAAACTGAACCCCCGCGTATATCTTTCCCTCCAAGAGCACGGCGCTGTGACTGCGATGTAGCACTCAAGCGCTTGGTCCCCTTCCCCCCTTCCCGTCCCAACTTAACCACACCCTCCAACACCTGGATCTCGAGAGTTTTCATGGGCTGCTTGTGGAGCAAGTCAGCAACAGTAACTTTTCAGCTTCCTTGGCATTGTAATCGGTGATGGGTTCAAATCTGTACAAGTTCTTGAGATCGCATCTTTTTAGAGCGACAACATACAACCAAACGTAACCCGTACGACTTCGCTCACAAAATGATGATCAGATGAGGTTGTTGGTGGATATTCTGATAAGGCTCATTTACGTATATTCTTATTTCAAGTCTCGTCCCACCACATTCCACCAACGATTTTTTTTTGGATTGGTTATTATAGAGTCCAAATGACTTCCGTTATTATCATCGGTTGCTTGTTGTTATAACAGGCAGCTTGTGGCCGATCAAAATCCCCTATAATTCGGTTCTTGTCAGTCAGATCTCCGTTGCCTCATCATGGATAATAATCTCTGCTGTGGTTGCCAAATGACTTGAAAAAAAAACTAGGGAGGAGAAGAAGGAAGAAGTTATCACGCGAGTACAATGTATCTGATTTGGCACTCAAGCGTGTCCTTGGGCCACAACGCGTACATAGTCTTTGCATAGAAATGGATTGAGGAAACCATGCAGCTTTGGTGGCCGATAATGTCGGCCACCCCGTCGACGTCCAAGCAACTCATGATCCATCCATCCATTAGCTCCGCTCATAACTGGTACTTAATCAGTCGGATTCCCTAGTGGAAAATGATAAGATCGGGGGTTATCATCGATAAAATCTTGGGTGGTTCCCAGTGCTTGATTATGTAGTCTGTTGTGTTTTTTTTTGTCTCATCGGTTGTGGTGTGCTACACCTGATTCATACCCTAGCCAGGGAGACCTGATCATTGGTCTGATGAATCAGTTGCAGGATTCCGCCTCTGTTAAACATGTTCTACCGAATGCTTGGGGACTTACGGACAGAAGCTTCTGTGTGCAAAACGATTCATAGAACAATCCGCTTGGCAAAAATCTTCAACACAATTGTGACCTACCTGTTATTTATGGTGATCTGATGTTTTTGGATTACAAAATCCTCAACTCTTTTTTTTTTGCCCTCAGACATTATCACTATGGTGCCATGTGCATTATGCAATTGGCTTTCTCTGGGGGAAAGAGCTAGGCCTATTGCTGAAAATGAGAAAAAAAAAAGGTTGAGCAATCCTGGCACTTTGTATTGGACTCCGACATCAGACTTTGGGGTTTTCATTGGATTTTGCCAGGGTACATAGCAATATTTGATCTTGCTTCAAGCAGACAGCCAACACTGGGCCAGCTATGCTGTACCTGAGCTTAATTCTGCAAACACATATTTATGTAGATTAGGATATCTCTAGCTTTCCACCAATGCTAAGAGCTATGTGTGCACAGGCTACAAAACAGTGTCCACCATGCTGTCTTGCAGAGCTTTTTAGCTGTTTCTTTTGCCTGTTTTTGCTTGAAGTGGCGGGCATACATAGCTGCACTAGCACTAGTACAGGTTCACACCTGCAGCAAGGCTGGCTACATGCTGATTGGATGACTTCCTGTCTTGCAATCTACAACCAGAAATCAATTTACACCCATTAGATCTATTTTTTTCATCAAAAAACAGTTCTTCTGAAGCCTTCCAGAAACAGCTCTCATGTGAGCTGGCTGAAATCTTAATCATGTTCTTAATTTAGGACTCAGGGAGGTCTAAGCATTCTAAATTGTGAGGGGAAGTCCTCCATTTTGTTCATGTACAACCCACTCTTGAGCATCTACAGCAGAGCCAGGGTCAATTTCTGTCCAAATAGCAGCCTGCAACCACATTTCACACCCCTGTCTTAGCTCTGTCACACTGCTCCCACAGCAGACTGGCAATAGATAGCAGGGGGTGGTTGGCCAAGTTGCCAAGCTCTGGTAGATGACTAGCAACTGCTGTGGGGGAGGTGTAGCAAGGTGTTGAAGTAGTGGATTGAGCATTGTGGTGTGTGTTGTGAGAAAAACACATTGAGGAGCAAGTAGCCGGTCTCCACCAAGGCGGCTATTGCCTTGGGTTGATAGCCGGGGGCAAGGTGGGGGTGATCAGGTGCAGCTCTGCTGGACCCCATAATTCTCCTGTGAGCCGCTGATTTGGACTGAAAATTGCCCGGTTGTGGCTCTGCTGGAGATGCTCTTGAACTAGGTGACTGGGTCTCCCAATCAGTTGAAAAGTCAAGTATCCAATTATCTTCTCTTAAAAGTTTAAATAACAATCCTCTTCATTCTTGAATAGGATGGGAAAAGGGGTGCAACAAACTGACATCTCAAACTTATTTTGTATCAATGAACCTGGCCCAAAGCAACATTTTCTTCATGTGACAGTGTGGGAGCAGCACTTGATCAAGAACCAACATGTGACTGGTTTATACTACAGACAGTATGGAATGATAAGTTGAATAACCCAGCCATAAACTCATTTGATGGAGATATTTATGATGGCCTCACTGCAGTATTGATTGGTTTTTGAAGACAATCTGATCCAAGAAATCAGTTTCTACATTGTGACTGTTGGTCCTAAGATGATTGCTTACATTGGGTGCTTATAAATTCATAACCTCCTATTAGCTTCCTTGAAAAAGAAAGCACCCAATTGAGAAACCTCCTTGACCATTTCCCATGTTGATCCAAGATATCCATGGACCATCAAACAAATCCAATGGGAAGTGCCACAATTCCAATCATCGGGATTGCCACTCCAATGGCTGCCTTTCTTGAATTCTACTTTGATTTCTGTGGGACAGAAAATGTTTTGAAGTGTCTGAATCCAGCTGCTATGTTTGACTTTCCATTTTAAATGGCAAGAGAGCCAGGGCCTGGTTTAGTGACACAGCTACCTTGTCTGATAAGAACAAGGCTTCTCTTATGGTGAGATTGGGAGCATGATTCCAGGGCCAGTTTATCTGTGGCTTGTTCTTCATTAAGCTTCTTCCAAATACACTGAATGGACTAATTGATTTTTGGATATATCTACTGGTTCAATCATATTAGAAACTAAATCTCAATTTACCCTAGCATGGATGTTTTAATATACAAAAGTAGAAGCATAAGCTATTTTCATGTGTTCACCATTCTTAAAGATTGATTTGAGAGAAGAAGCAAGACAGGAGAAGGTAAGAAAGACACAGGGTCTTTTCAACATGTTGCTCTCATTCAAACTCAAAGCCTTGACTCAAGTCCATCAAAATTTGTCAATGCTATTCTCTGATTTCAAAAGCAACTTTCTTGGAGGCTAACTCGCAAAAAGGAAAACCATCATCTAGGTTCATCAAGACCCACTTGTATATATGCCACTAAAGGAAAAATCGTCATCATCCATCCTACAAACATGAGAATCTGCAGCATTTTTGTTGTGTAAACTTGAATGGGAGAACATACAATATATTGGGATGTGACAAGCTTTGGGAACAGCATTGATCCATCACCTATTTTGAATGAAAAGATCTTTTTCAGAGAATATTGCAGTTGAAAAAGTGTAGCTTTGGTACCATTTAATTTTTCTTTCCATAGATTCTTTCAGATATCATGTACATAATTAAGGTGTAGTGCAAGTAAGGACAAGCCCATTAAAATTTTATGCTGCATAAAATGAGATAGTTTCCTTACATAGTGAAGCATGCAGTAGTCAAACAGGAAAAATGGTGAGACTAAACCATATCTTGAGCCAAAAGCAAGGCTTTCCCTGTAAACAAATGTCTTGGTTTTGTTTGTGAACCAGTTTATGAAATAAACCAATTTCCAATTCCTAATATTGTGAAATTTCCTAACCATGAGGATATCATGTTTGTGTGAGACACATCTCAGAACTATTTCAAATTTCAGAATATTTTCAGCTCTTTTTGGTTATAATATATTGACACTACACTTATATTTCTACTTCCAGCCATAGGAAATTGGGGAATCAATAGGGCAGTTCACATTCCAGCCAACTCTTTTCATTGAGATATCTCAGTATAAGCATGCTCTCCAACCGGTTGTGTAGTGATAGTCATAGTTGAAACCTGATTGTGAAACCTACTTGTTAGGTAGTTGAATGGAAAATCTTGTGCTTGTTCCTATTTCTCTTTTCTTCACTCAGTTTCTTGTTTCTGCTTCAACTTGTCAACTCACACAATCAGTTGTGCTCATCATCTTGTCTCCTCAGTCAGCTTGTGTAATGTTATTCACTTGTTGGGTTTTTTAAAAGATCCTCTGCTCCTAAAATTTCTTTACATTGTTGGTCTTGAACAAGGCTTGTTTGCTGGTACACAACTCTCATTAAATTCAATGTTGGGATTTAGCCTTTAAAAAGGGGAGCCTCCCAATAAACCTTTTTACTTTCCCACAAACCATAAATAGCCCATCTAGCAAAGTTTGTCTGATGATCATAAGATCAGCGGTATGTGAAACCCTTTAATATTGTCCTTTTATATCTTGAGATCTTTTGCTGAATGAATTTTTTCCCATTGGCATTACATCTTTCACAATATAAAATGTTTTTGTCTCAGTGACAGGAATGGCCTTATATATGAGCATAAGGGAGGCAACACAGGCCACACTCAAGAAGGCTGCCTAGCAATACCAGTACTGTCTATGGTATAGTTACCAAAGTAGCGACATACAGGGTGTCAAATTTATCTTGTTAACCAGCCTGGAATTCATAATAAAAAAAAATCCAGCCAGCTGATCTGGAATGCTTTGATTGGTGTAATAAGTAGACTGAGGATAGCTGGGCTGATATCAAGGTGCAGTAGAAGCCAGAAGAACAAGGCAACTAGGTAATAATGAGCCTACATCTATTATCTGTTCAATGCTTATTGGCATAAAGGAAATAAAAAGGCAGGTGTTAACTTCTGAGAAATGGCAAGAATAATCATAGGCTGTATATAACTAAATTTATGAGGATGAGCAGTGTTTAAATAATGTTCATGGAAATTTTGGGAGTCCACTTGTGTTGATAGCACTGGCCACAGATTTGTTAAATCACTAGATTGTTTGGGTAGGTTCCATCAGGCCAGACTCAAATGGCTATAACAAATGTTGGATTAAACCTCATTCTTATAGAACAGGGCTCCTGGATGTGTTGAAGAGGTTCTTCATGAGCGTTGCCAAAACATAACAGATTTCCTCTTGTAAGAAAGATGGAGCATTTTAATGCTCATCAGACAAAACTTGATATTTTCTTTCTTTTTTATTCCTCTTGATGTATGTTGTGCACTGGAGCAAGCCTAAAGGAGAATGGGAAGATTGGTCATAAAATTTCTCAATTAAATTGTGGTCCATAGCTGAGGGAAATACTATGAGAAATAAAACAAAACCCCCTGTTGCTACCAAGTACTTGACCAATTTTTTCTATCCAGCTTTGAGTGCGTACTCCAGGTGCACTTGTAGCTTGAGAACATACCACTCAACAATCCGGTCCTATATGCAACTCAAAAATCCGGTCCTATATACCACTCAACAATCCGGTCCTATAGCGGAGGAATGGCAGCTTGGAGTGGGCAGATAGTGTCTGCCTATTTTGTGCATACACATGTAGAAGTGTTGCCAGCTGCTGATTCCTCACATCTTGAGCATCAAGGACATAACCCCAACCACTTTTTTCCTGCACCGGCTCCTTGAACTTTTTGTTGATTTTTGGGTCCTTGTCCGACTCGGAAGACCCATACAGATTGATGATGATTCCAGAACATGTTGCGCCATGTGAGTTTGCTCTATTTGATATGCTGCGGGCTGCGGCTACCACAACATGAGCTCCGCTCCCGGAGTCTTCCCGAGCTCGGCGAACCCCTCCAAGTGCAATCATCTCTCCCGTTCGATCCAGCTCCAGAGATTCCAAGCGGATCACAAGTGCAACTTGGCTTGCAAACTTGACCCTTTAACGAAAAAAAAAAAGATCAACCACTCACGAACAAACATTCTCGCAACGCTCTTAGAACCTACAGCTCGCCCCTTGACCAAAACATATACCACCCGTCTCTTGGTGTTTCTTGTACCAACTTGGCGATCTTGTGCCTTGCTGTCGAAGATACTCCTTGTCGGTCTCCGTTGTCTACTTGCTCTCTCTATCAAAACAATATCTCTCCTAGATCTCATTCTTTATCCCCCGACTCACTTTTTGGTCCTGATTAGTCTCCTCCTTATCTTGATCGATTCAGTGTCCCGGTAAAATTCTTGTCGTGAAATCCCTTGAATCGCATCGTTCCCAGACTTGACATCGTTCTCGAGCGGAGCCAACTCACATACTCTTCAACCCGGTTCTTCATTCCATGTATGCATCCTCAAATTACCTGTTTCTCTCCTCATCCGCCCCTCATCATTATGATCGTCTTCAGCCCATATCGCTTTCGAACTATCTGTTTGAGGGGCGCTCCTGTTTTAGCGTCCTTCGTTCCCATCTTACTCTCTCTCTCTCTGCCTCGACAAGAAGTGCGAAGAGCTCGTACAGGCTCTAGAGTATCTCTCGATGTGTTTCCGAAGTTGTCCTGACAGGTTCTGACCCATGCCCTTCTCTCCCCCTTCTTTTCGTATTCCACAGGCTGTTTCGACTAACCGGTACCTCAACTCACGACAATTTGCTCTACAGCCTCATCAAATCCAATCCGCTGCATTCTTGAAAAAAAACACCCGCCTTTTCTCTATCTTTCGTTTTCTCATTTTCAATCTTCTCCATCATGCGCTCCCAACTACTTCCTCTTCGTTCTCAACTTAAGTTGGCCTTCTTTAGGCCTACCTGTCGTTCGTTTGCTACTACCAAAGATAATATCCCACTGAAGCCCTGTGTCGACTCGGACAACTGCGCCTTTCAGGAGCCATCAACCGATGGCAGACCGGCTTCGCTGCATTTCAAATCCGGACATGTCTTTACTGGTCGGTCGTTTGGAGCTCCCGTTTCGACCTTTGGTGAAGCCGTCTTCACTACCTCCACCACTAGGTAAGGCGATCGATAATAGTCTTTTTTTCATTCTCAACCCTACCCGGCCTCCTGGATCTAATATACCACACTCGCTCAATCTTTGCAGTTATCCTGAGTCCATGACAGACCCGTCCTACCGCTCTCAAATCTTGGTGTTCACAACACCCATGATCGGCAACTATGGAATACCTCCTAACATCCTCGCCACCTCGCCTACTCCTGTTCCTTCGTCACCAGACCTTTTCCTTGAATCCGAGCGAGTTCAATGCTCAGGCGTCGTTGTTGCTGAGCTGGCCGACCGTTTTTCACATTATCAAGCCATGGAATCCATCAGTAACTGGTGTCATCGCTTCGGTGTACCTGGTATCACCGGTGTGGACACTCGTGCCATCACCTCACTTCTCAGACAACAAGGTAGTACGTTGGCCAAAATTGCCGTTGGTGATGGACATCAAACTCCTGTCACACCAGAACAGTACTGGGACCCCAGTGGGATCAATCTGGTGGCCGAGGCTTCCACTAAAACACCTTACACCCTCAACCCTACCAGTCCTATCTCGATCGCCATGCTTGACTTTGGTGCCAAAGCCAATATTGCCCGTTCCCTCGTCAAACATGGTGCGGCGGTGACCGTCCTCCCTTGGGATACCCCCGCTTCATCAATCATCGGCAAGTACCATGGCCTCTTTTTGAGCAATGGTCCCGGTGACCCCAAGCACGCCGTCGCAGCTGTGGAAACCGTCCGGACAGTTATGAATGATGCGCCCAACATGCCGATCTTCGGCATTTGCATGGGTAAGTGGTTTTGCTTTGTCTCTGATCATAGGCCGTCAATTGTGCTGATTTTCTTATGTCATCTCTTCAAAGGTCATCAAATTATCGGTCTTGCTGCCGGTCTGGAAACGTATCGCATGCGTTTCGGTAACAGAGGTCACAATCAACCCGTCCTGGCACTAGCAAACTCTGGCTCGATTCAAGCCGGCAGGGTTTTCATTACCTCTCAGAATCACCGTAAGCTTGACATCTTGGTACGATTCACCGACCTGGAACTGATTCATTGGTCTGATCTATAGAATATGCCATCGAGTTGAAGGATCCCTTTCCGCAAGGATGGGAACCCTTCTTCATCAAGTGCGTCATCCGTTGCCTTCTCTGTTGAGCAAATTGCATGTTTCCAACTGACTCTCTCCTTCTTGCTCCAGCTGCAACGATTCTTCGGTCGAGGGAATCAAATCTACTGAAGGGAGCGGCCGCAAAGTATGGGGGTACGTTCATCCCGTCCCCTTGCCTCATGTATCTATTCACAAGACTAACCCCGTACCCTCATTGCAGTGTTCAATTCCATCCCGAAGCAGCTGGTTAGTTGACCAAGTCCATCCCGGTTCAATCTTTTCTAAAGATACTGAGTCTTACGTTTTTCTTTTCACAGGTGGTCCACTGGACGTGATGGAGATGTTTGTAAGTTGACGATCTGTCTATAGTTTCATCCATGGGTAACTGATGTCAGCTTGATTCGGACTCACAGAAAGACTTTGTTACGCAATGTTCTACGACTTCCGTCCCTCTTTCATCCTAAATGGATCTTCTTCGCCATTTTCAATTCCCGCCAAAAAAAAATAAGAATCAGTACAGCAGCGTTTTTTCAGTAATGATTCTACTAGTGTGTTCAACCTTTACCATCGCATTTTTGTCTGACTCCCTAGGAGCTTTTTCCTCCATCATCTACATGCATCAAGCCCAATGGATTTCTCTTGCTCAGAACATATATGACAATATACCCATATCACCCAACTGCATTGTCTGAGCTTGCCAGAGACTGAAGGTCTTACTTGGTTGCATATCTTTTGCCAAGAACAAGTTTTGGTCCGTCCAAGCAGCCTGAGCTACTTATGAAGGAGTCAACCACTATGAGGGGGATCACCCTTGAGTGATATGACTGTGCGCCAGATCTTGAGTGTCACACTGGAAGGATGGAGCCTTGCTCTCCTTGCCAGGATATGAAATCCTATTATGAGCCCACAAGGAGCTCATCACTGTCCCCTCCTGCCCGCAGTGCGCACATGTGCGCTGCTCCCCCGGACTGAGCACTGGAGAGAGAGGGACGGGAGATCCAGAGAGGGGGCTTGAAGACCTCTTCTGCTCTCCCCCCGGGCCCGAGGTGCTCAAGAGAGACTGTCTCCCCTCGACTCACAACGTCTTGAGTCAATCCAGTGATCAATCAATCGGCTGCTCGTTTTCAATATAAATCCAACAACCCTCAAAAACTATTAACAACAACAACAACAACAACCTTGATTGTATTATAATCGGCCAAGCTTCCGCCCCTTCGGTTCCTCTTCGGCCGGCCCTTCCCGAGTCGCTCGAATCGATCCAACCAACCAAAAAAAAAACAACAACAATAACAGATCTTGGGATTGGTCGCTCGATCTTCGTCTCGTGACTTTTCGATCGAACTCGATTCTTTTTGCGGTTTGATCGTATCTCTCAACGTTCTAGACTGCATATCTATATAACTTCTCGTGCGTTGAGCTTTTCCTTCTTCTCTTTCCCCTTTCTGGCCTTTTTTTTTCTACGTCTCTTCGGCGGATCGGGGTTCCTTTTCTTTTTAGAAAGAAAAATAAAGGAAAAAGGGTATAAAGAGAGAGAGAGCGAGAGAGCGATATGAAGGTTTAGTTGAAGGATAAGTCAGGTTGTTCTTTTTTTTTCCAAAAAAAAGAATGTTTTCTTTCGATATTGGGTCATGGATTGGGGACGCGGGGAAGAAGATGTTTATATATGACTTGGGTGATGGATGAAGAGAATCGGTTGGAAAGGGAAGGGAAGGATTCTTTCTTTGGAAGACCTCACTCTCAATCTCGACTCGACTCACTTCTACCATCTCTTCCTCTCCTTTCTTTTTCTCTCTTGCACTATTTTGCCTCTTCCCCTCACTGTCTACGATGGCTCAGTCTCTCTTCCGGAACCGTCACATGATTTATCTAGCCCAATCGCTCAGCTCAGCTCAGCTCTCTCTCTCTCTCTCTTTGCTCTCTCCTCCTTGGATATTCTTGAGGAGGATTATAAGCTATCTGTCACAGTTGAAGATATCTTACTACCTATTCTTTTTTTTTTTTTGGTCACTCTTATTTCTCCTCAGTGTTGAAGAGTTGATCAAGTTATTATTAGGAGGAGAACTGAAACGGTTTTGACCCTCGAGATAATTTGTTTATATTCCGCAGTGGTTATTTGTAGACTCCTGAGTTGATTGATTGATGGTTTTTTTTTGTTTTTGTTTTTGTTTCAGCCTTGCAGAACTTCAGCCGGAGTACACTGAGAAGTCTTGAGCAGGGTGTACTCAGTGGAGGGAGTTTTCTATTTTCGGTCAGCCCCGCCCCGCCATATATATTATTTTTTCCCCCCGCTCCTCCCTCCATCCCCCCCTCCCCAGCTAACTTTAGTATTCAACTGCCGCCGCCAGCCTTGGCTCCAGTCAACCCACGCAGCAGATCCAATCACCATGTCCCTGACCTCATCACTCCCAACTGGAAAGCCAGACTCAACCGCAACCAACAAGCAACCCACCAAGACCCTCATCAACCCTCACCCTACAGCCTCCGCATCATCATCCTCACCCCCTTCATCCTCACCCCCATCCTCACCCTCATCACCGATCAGCCAACCCCCGCAAATCACTCACACTCCCCATTCTCAGTCTCCCTCCGAACTCGACTCCGACTCACCCTCTTCTGCCTCACCCTCATCCCCATCCATCTCCTCATCCGATCACGACGATCCTCCCAAGCTACCCTCCCGACGCCAAAAACCATCAGCCACATCCTCCAGCAGGCTCGAACTACCTCAGAGCTATGATGCTCAGCTCTACGGTCTTCGGAGATCTGCAAGTCTTTCCCTTGATTTGTTTTTTCAGGCACTTTTTTCATCCACTGACTCACATCTTTCCTCTGTCATACCACCACTCTCCACGCCCACCATGTCGCATCCTCCTGAATTCATCAGACGCGCGCCAGTCAAAAGGTCGGTGCTTTCTCCATGGAAACTGCTTGGATCACCACAAGAACATTGGCTCAATTCATTAATATCCCTCTCTTCAAACTCTCGCAGGTATTCGAGCACGTCAGCTTAGAGTTCGATGATGAGGACGATGGGACTGGTAACGATGATGAAACTAGGCCGATCAAACGGTCCAAGAAACAATCCACTTCAGGCAAGAAAACATCCGCCAAGCGTGAGTGGCTCTTGTCCAATCATTCTTCCCCTCCGGGTTCTCATCACCACCCTTTTCCTTCGCTTGGCCAAATACATATACACATACTCGAGTTCAGGCAAAGCAGCAGATAAATCAGCCAGTGTGACACCCCGACCAGGGATCGAATCAGAGCAGGACGATAGTGATTTCTCGGGAGGCGGCCGAAAGCCTGGCAAACGTCGTCGGGCAGCAGTCATCAAATCTGATGGCGAGGAACCGTCTCTCCCAAGGATCTCAGCTCGGAGTGGTAAGCCACAGAACTATAACGAGGATGATCGCTATCTGGGCTTGATCTCAGACTCCGAGGAGGAACAGATCGCCGCTTATGCCAATCAACCAACGGTTGCGATCGGAGGTGGGGTTCCGATTACCACTTCTTGATTCAATCTTTGTTCTTGTCTTGCAAGATTCTTCCTTCTAACCCTCCGATCGTACTACTCTTACAGATGAGGGTGACGCAATTGACGTGGTTCTGGATCACATGAGAGATACTAAATTATGTAAGTCGAAATCTCTCTCAATAATCTAGTGAACCAGGCCCTTCAAGTCGTATTTACTAACTATTCCACACTCCTGTCAACTCAGCCGACCCCTCGCTCAATGACCCAACTCAACACCTGTTGTATCTCATCAAATGGCAGGGATACAGTCACCTCCATTCAACATGGGAATCATACGAATTCGCCAAACAGTACCGAGGTGCGACCTGGGCTTTTCCCCGAGGCCCATTCATTCATAACATAAACTTAAACATGTCTTTTGTGTTGATCATTCAGGATTCAAAAAACTCGAGAATTATATCAAGAACGTTTGGATGCCTGAAAATCTGATCAATAGTGACCCAAGTTATACGGATGAAGATCGCGAAGCGTTTATGATTGAACGAAATCGAACCCGGGAGCAAGTCGAGAGCTATAAAATAGTTGAAAGAGTGCTTATGGATCGGGAGGCGCCACCGACGCTAGACATTGACCATGATCATGTCGAATATCTCTGCAAATGGCAGGGCTTAAATTACGATGCATGTACTTGGGAAGCCGAAGAGACGATCGCGACGATCGCTGCAGAGCAGATCGCAATTTATCGGGCTAGAATTGATTGTAAAACCGTCCCTTATCACTCGACCCCACTTGGTAAATCTAGACCGGTTTTCGATAGGATCAAAGAGCAACCCAAGTATATCAAAGTCGGTGGTACTCTGAAGGACTTCCAGGTCACTGGACTCAACTGGTTGGCGTATGTTTGGCACAAAGGTCAAAATGGCATCTTGGCTGATGAGGTACGCCATTTTTTTTTGCAACACTCATTTGAATTTTTTTGAGAACCTGGTATTAATTCCTTTTCAAATCAACACTGCTTCTTGACACAGATGGGCCTCGGAAAGACAGTTCAAACATGCGCTTTTCTATCTTATCTGTTCCACACGATGGAGCAATATGGCCCCTTCCTGATTGTCGTACCACTTTCGACTTTACCCGCATGGCAAATGCAATGTGCTCAATGGGCACCAGACTTGAATGTTATCGCTTATATCGGTAACAAAGTGAGCCGCCAAACAATCCGAGAATATGAGTTCGGGCCTCCGAAGAAGATGAAGTTCAATATCCTGCTCACTACCTACGAGATCATCTTGAAAGATCGCGCCGAGCTTGCTCATATTAAGTGGCAGTATTTGGCCGTTGATGAAGTCGGTTTTTTTCTTTTTCTTTCTCATTACCTATGCTGGACATCTCCACTCATATCCGATTATTGACATTTTGTTTAATTTTCTATTAGGCTCATCGCTTAAAAAGTAGCGAATCTCAGCTCTATGAAGCCCTGATGTCTTTTAACATACAATCCAAGTTGCTGATCACTGGTACTCCGCTCCAAAATAGTGTCAAAGGTCAGTATTTGCCAATTTGAATTCTTTTCCAGAGTCGTGATGCTCACTGTATTTGTCATCCTTCTTTCGTGCAAATTATAAAGAGCTCTTGGCTTTAATGCACTTTTTGCAACCAGATAAATTTGATCTCTCCGAGGGTCACTTTGATTTGGAAGGTTATTATAAGACCAATCTTTCTAATCAGCTGCTCCCAGATCAATATGACTCTAACATGTTTTCTGATTATTGGATTGGTCTTACTTAGATGATGAAAAGGAGATAAAGATTAAAGACTTGCACAATAAGCTACAGTCTATCATGCTTCGGAGACTCAAAAAGGACGTCGTTCAGAGCTTGCCAACTAAGAGTGAAAGGATTCTTCGTGTGGAAATGTCAGAGTTACAGATGTTTTGGTACAAGGCAATCCTCACCAGGGTGTGTTTTTAGCTCTTGCAGGTTTTCTCATAACATTTGACTGATGTTCCTTAAATATTTCCTGCGATTATTTGTAGAATTATGCCGCATTAGCCTCCAGTGATTCTCAAGTCTCACTACTAAATATTGCCATGGAGCTGAAAAAGGCCAGCAACCATCCATTCTTGTTTCCCGGCGCCGAGCCTATGACCGATTCAAAAGAAGCAGCCTTGCGTGGGGTAGTTGTTAATAGTGGTAAGATGATCTTACTCGATAAGCTGTTGACGCGACTCAAGGCAGAAGGCCATCGGGTCTTAATTTTCAGTCAAATGGTTCGAATGCTGTTAGTTTTCTGTCTTCTACTTTTTTTTTGTTTTGGCCTTGCCCTGATGAATTTTTTTTTAATCTTGGGCCTATTCTCAGTGATATCATGTCAGATTATATGTCCTACCGTGGTTATATCTTTCAACGATTGGATGGAACCGTCCCCTCTGAAGAGCGCAGGAAAGCCATTGGGCATTTCAACGCACCTGGTTCCCCCGATTTCGCCTTTTTGCTATCCACTCGTGCTGGTGGTCTCGGAATCAATCTCGAAACTGCGGATACCGTTATAATCTTTGACAGTGACTGGAATCCTCAAAACGATCTCCAAGCGATGGCCCGTGCTCATCGGATCGGTCAAAAAAATCATGTGAATGTTTACCGTTTGGTGACCAAAGACACTGTCGAGGAAGACGTCCTAGAACGAGCAAAGCGTAAGATGATCTTGGAATACGCGATCATCAATCAAATGGATACATCGGGCAAGCACGTTGGAAGGAAAGAGGCTTCAAAACCAGAAACAACCTTCAATAAGGATGATTTGAGTGCCATATTGAAATTTGGCGCGGCTAACCTCTTCAAAAGTTCGGCTGATCAGTCAAAATTAGAGTCCATGGACCTCGACGAAATCATGAACAAGGGTGAAAACTTCGAAACTGAAACCGCTCCAACTGGCACCAGTCTTGGTGGTGAAGATTTCTTGCAACAGTTTGCTGTCCAGGATGTCAAGGCCGATGTGACCTCTTGGGATGAGATTATTCCTCTCTCAGAACGACAGCGCGTGGAATCTGAACGGACGGCAACCACCACCAAACAAGCGGGCGAAGGCAGAAATCGTGGAACAGCCACCTCTCGTGCTGCCAACGGATCACCCTCCAGCAAATCCAACGTGATACCTCCTGAAGATGATCACGGTGATGATTATGAACCCAATGGTCCGACGAAATCGGGGCGTTACAAGAAGAGGAAATTAGGTGGAAGATTCAAAGAGGATACGCCTGATTCGATAGCTAAACCCAAAGAGAGCCGGGATTCGAGTCAATCGAGAAGTAAAGAGTTCAACTCAAAAGAGATTCGTGATCTAATTCGCTCGATCCAACACTTTGGTGATATCCGGCAACGATACGATACGATGGTCAAGTTTGCCAAATTGGAGTCTAAGGATCGGGAGGTGACACTGAAATGTGTGGATGAGCTCAAGGAAATATGCGAGCGAGCTCTGGCGGAGAACGAAGAAGCGATCCGGCTCAAACGACAAGCTGGCGAGGAAGTCACTCCTGCAATGAGGAATAAAGCGGTATTAATTGAGTTCAGAAATGTTGCTAGCATTAATGCTGAGACGGTCATGAGTCGGATGAATGATCTTAGGCTACTTCATGACGGTAAGCTTACTCACTCTTCAGCTTGAGATGAATCCAGAGTATACTCATGATGATCTTCTTTTTTTTCACAGAACTGACGTCCGAAAGGGATCCCCTCAATTGGACCCATCCCGCCTCAGGCCTCAAATCAACAACAGCTGGCTGGTCATGTGAATGGAATGAGGCCAAGGACAATTCTCTTTTAATCGGTGCTTGGCGTCATGGATTCGGTCGGTGGGATCTGATTCGGGATGACCCCGAGTTGGGATTGTCGGATTCAATCTTTTTAGAAGAACCTAAACGGGTCAAGGGAGAAGAGCCTAAAGCCAAAAGTATTCCGAGTGGTGTCCATCTCAGTCGACGAGGTGACTATTTACTCCGGGCACTACGCGAATATCATGAGCAGCAGGAACTTGAACAGAAAGAACAAGGTCGCGATGGGTTTCATGGTCACCATGCAAATCAGTCCACAAATCATCACTCCTATTCTGCCACTGACACTCAACATCGATCTTCGAGACCATCCGGCAAGACGAGTCATTCATCCCGCCCAGCCAAGAAGCAGCATACTCAACAGAAACCCCCACAAGCTCGTCACCATTCCCCTGCGGTGAGGGCCAGTTCAAAGTCGAGTTCGGAGCTGACAGAGGAAGCTGATGAGGAAGATGAAGAACTCGAGGAGGAGGAAGATAGTATGGATGAAGGGGAATGTAAAGAGGCTATGAGACCGGTCAAAAAAGAGTTGAAAGAACTCCGGGCCGATGAAAGTAAGACTATTGGCGGGGCTGCTCGAGGTAAGAAATAGTTGTAGAATTCTTAGTGTGATATTATTTAGTTAATCTGGATTCATTTTCGATTAGCTGCCATCCTCAAACGTCTCATAACCGCCATCGGTCATCATATCGACCATTGCGTCAAGATCAATCGCGGCGACGAGAAAACCAAGACGAGATTAAGGCGTCACCTTTGGTCGTTTGCCGTTGAATGGTGGCCCAGACCAGCGGGTAGCACAGAACCGCTCATCCGGGCTGACAAAATGGAGTCCATGTTCATTCGGTCAGTTTGGCATTTCATTCTCCTTTTTTAGTTACATCTGGCTAACGTTGTGCTCTGTTTTCTTTTTCAGACTGCGGAGCTTTGATCCGAAGGACCAAAAAGCACCTGATGCGAGCCCCAGTATCCCCCAGAATGAGGCCCCAGCTATTCAACCAGCTCAGGAGTCAGCCTCTTCGCGTACTCCCAGTTCGCCCCCTCCCCCTGGCTTTAGACGCATCACGCCCCGGTCTCCGAGCCAAGATAGGTATGGGCGAGAAGCTAGGAATGATCCTCCTAGAGATAGTGTTGGGAACGGTTCTGTTAGATACGACGGGGCGAACGGGAATAGTTCTCGCAATGAGGGATGGGGAAATAGTAGTAGGGGCCCCAGTAGGAATGATGGTGACAGCCGAAACGATTCGGGTGATGACCGTCGACGAAGCGGGGGCGGAGGGAACAGTAGCAGGCGTGTGGCGAGCGGCAGTGGTAGTGGGAATAATGGTAGCCATCGGAATAACAATACCAATAAGCGGAGGGGAGCCAGGCCGCCGCGAAAGAATCCGAGCAGTAATGGACTGACCAGCCAGAGCGGCTACTACCATCCGATCGGCTATGAGAGCGGCCCGTCGGCGCCGATCCATCTTGATGGCTCCGGGCCCCCACCGACGGTGGCGGGATATATCAACCAGCCTGCGGCGGGCTCGCTTTATTACCGGCCTCCGTCCCATTCACCCTCCTCGATCCATCCTCATCCGGTGGCCAATAATCGGGGACCATCTTACTATGGCTCACCTTCTGGTTACCCTTCCCCTTATCCGGCCGCACCTCCTCCGGTGCCTTCTACTTACCCTAACCACCATCCTTTTGTGGGATCCCCTCATATCCCGGACCCTTCTGGCTTCGGCCCCGCTGCTCCTCCTATCCCCCATTATCCTCATCTGCCTCAGCCTCCTAATCCTTTGCCTCGGCCGCCTCATCGACCTCATCCTTCCCACCATTGATCACATCCTTCCCTCTCCCACCCAGAGGACTCTATACTCCTTATCTTGTACCCATATTTGTTCTTTAGTTGTTTTTGTTTGGTTATATAACTTATAGTACATGGTTTATATACATATATATATAGATATATATATGCATCCCTTAGAAATATTAAAAGAAAAAAAAGACTCTTGCTTGTTCCTTTGATCCCCCCCCCTCCCCCCCTTCTTCCTGTTCTCATTTCTTATTGATTGGTTGTGTTGAGCTTTCTTCTCGTCTTTTTGGACACTACTTCATTTGCTCATTGTTGTCATAATGATCATTGTCATCATTCTTATCTTTTGTTGATTGACTGAGTTGGGTTTCTCGACTGCTTTCTTCACTCCCACCAGTCCTGACTACCCCCCCCCCCTTTCTGTTTCTTTTGTTTACAATGAGGGTTTTTTTTTTGAGTGGTTTTCTCAATTGATCTTCTTTTCTTTGTTCTCACATATATTATACTCTATTGTTATTTGCAAGATCTATCATCCATTTTTTTGTTTTTGTTTTTGTATGCACTTCTTTTTTTGGCAGTGGTGGTGGTAGTGCCAGTGGTGGTTCCTTTTTTGTGTATCTATCTATCTATCTGTGTGTGTGTGTGTTTTGTGAATTCATAAATAAGTATAAAACTGTCAATGAAAGATGAGTGAGTGAGAGCATCTTTACCGGTTGGGCTAAAAGCCAGCAGTTTTAACTCGCGGCTATTGCTAAGCTACTATAGCAAAGCCTATTCAGCCACACCGGTGTGGCATGAGGTTAAACGGTTTGGTGTGGTTTGAAGTAGAGGTGTGTGATTGTGTGCGGGAGGGCACCAAAATGAAGCACACTCACCGGTTTTTGCTTTTAGCTTGCTTGCGAGCTAACCGTTGCTAGATCTAGCAACGGTTAGCTCGAATCGGAGCCACGAGCTAGTTTGACTTGACTTAAGCTCAGCCCGATGTGGTTGAATTTCGTGGCTAAAGTCCTTAGCTCGCGCGGATTTAGCCACCGATACGGATGCTCTGAGTGAGACTAAGAAAGATAAGATAGAGTCAAGCAAGTGATTTTGTAGTGGACATACAGTACAAAGATGGGTTGATTGGTAATCCTCCTGTGTACTTGGTGGTTAGACTACGAGATGGTGGAATTGAGAGAAGGTTATAACAGTGCTTTGTGTATGGTATTCTTGACAAGTAAGGGACAAGATCAGCATTCACATTTGCTGGCAGGATTTTCAGGTTCTAAATTAGCTGAGGTAAACCTACCAGGTTGATTATGTTGGCGGAAATTTAGTGGGAAAATTGACTTTCAGGGTTGGGGACCGATTGAGGCCAAGGCCAATATAATGATTTTTGCCAGGTGGGCTCTGTAATTGGGAGGATTTGGTAAATTGACCCAACAAATGTATTGATCAAAAGCCTTCTAGTGGTTGGGTCTGGGTTTTCTTGGATTGTATGGTTGAGATTGGTGGTTCCTTTGTGGACTAACTAAGGCTTGCAGCTCATGGGATATATCTGCTTTGGACTCTTCTTGGGGGAATCCTTGCACATCTCCTCCCCCCCTTCTTGTGGTGATGGCCTTGTCACCCTTCATGTAGAACTCTGCATGATCAGTACCAGATTGGATAATGGCTAGGGGGATGTGTATTTCAGCCATCAAGTGTGAATGGTGGATCTGGAATCACATCCCCTGTCATCCTGCAGGGGCAAACTACAGATTGATTGATTAAGATTCTATTTTAGCTCAGAGATTCATCACAAAGATGGCAATGATCCTCAACATTTGGGATATATGGATTAATGGGCTTTTGAACTGGCCCTGAAAGTGGATCTGACTAAGCATAAGATGCAACAGCTTCTTGATTTGAAAACTTCCTCTTATTAGGATACTGTGCCATTGTGGGGAGGATTAAAGTATTAATATAAAAAAAAAAAATCAATATTCCTGAAATTCCTGTCAGACATGACCACTATGTAGCTGCAAGTCCCTCCTTCAATGGTTGAAGCACAAGCTCCTCAGAGGGACTTGTGCAAAGCTCAATTCAAATTTGAATTAAAATAGAAAATATGTGTTGCATTGGTCATACATTTATTACTGATCTGATCCTTAGTGCCAATATTGAACTTCCAGAAGGAGAAGTTTTTTTTTGTGAGATCATTTCTGGTAATGAATCTGTGGATCTTGTAGTAGTTTTTCTTTTCATGCATAAATTCTAATGCCATCCCTGTTGTTCTATTGTTTTTTTCTCACCCTAAATCTGCTCCCATAAGGTATGTATGTTGCTTTGGACCCATGGCTAGGTGTCTGTCACTACCTGGAAGGTACCACTGGCAACAGCCACACACACACCAGGCAGTGCCAGGTGCATTGGCAGATGTTTTTTTTTTTTTTGGTCAAAAGAGCCCAACATCCCTCCTCAGTGACCCTGTAGAGACAAAAGGTGTCAAACAAGTGAGTTGTGGGTGTCTCTGCCAGGTCCCTGAGAGGCATTCCCCTCTTTGGCAACCTGGTAGAAATAAATCAAGCTGCCAGGCAGGATTCATTGACAACCTGGTAGAGAGAAACCAGGTTGAGGCTTTTCCTATTGCCAAGCAGGAATGCCTGTTGATGACCTGGTAGAGACTTTACGCAACCTGGATGGTCTCTACCAGGTTGCCAAAGAGGACTCCTGGTGACCTTGAAGAGACCAATCAGGTCACCAGTGAAGAGCCTTCTTAGCAACCCCATGGGCAGAGGAAAGCCACCAGGGCAGAAAATGAAGCTTGGTACCTGCCCCATGTACCGGTGGTACCCACCAGTCCGTGCCTGGTGCGGTAATTGGTACAGTGTGCAACACAAGTTCTCAACCACATCCTGGGGACCTGTTCTAAATTTTTGAGGTTGACTTTTTTTTTATGTCTGCCTGTCTTTGGGTACCCAAGAGTGTTCAAAACCTGTCAATCTCCTTTCAAATTCTTGTGAATACAAAATACTTGGCAATTCAAAGAGCAATCCTGGAGCACAATTACCAATGGCTATCAAGGAGTGCACTGATGGACGTGCATGTCATGGCCAGATAGCTTCAGATCCAATATTTCTCTTTGTTATTTCTCAACAAGTTTTGTAATCATGCACTTAAGATATAGATTTACAAGTAATGTATGCTATAAGTACATAATATGAATCTATAAGTACATAAAATGCCTGCATAAGTCCATACTATGGCTTAATGAAGTAGTTGTTCCAAGATTGTGACTTCAAAAATTTCAAACCTTTTTTTGGCACATGCCAGAGACTTAAGGAATATAATTTTATATTCTACTGCTTCTGTAGAGTCTAAAAATTTCTAGTCCATGGTTTATACATACATTCAAGCCCCCCAAAATACCCCCCCAGGTCTCAACTTTTTTTGCAGGCAGGGTGTGGTCGAGAACTTGTGTTTTGCTGTACCTTTTTTGGCAAAAAATGATCTGGTACCCGGGTGCCAACCGGTACCTGAGTCTAAAACTTCTTTATGCTCCCACTTCAAGTCACAATCAAGCTTGGTGTAAAATTCTCTACGGGGCCCATATCATTGTGCATAGAGATGGCCCCTCATACTTGTGCACTTGAAATAAGTACAAGTACTTGCATGAACATTCTCAGATCTCAGACACCCACACCCACACCCGTACTTGTGGGGGAAGGACAGAGCAAGTACTTGCGTGTGTGAAAGCTTATTTTGAGATATAAAGGTGATAAATTTTCATGTGTTTTCATTTCAGAGATTTGTAAACTAAGTGAGTGTAAATAGTAATAATAAATCTTAACTTTTGCCCTTCATTTTCTTTCAGACTTCTCCCTTTCAGCTTTCTTCTCATTTTTATTATTTGCCTTCCATTTTCACAAAAGCCCCCTCTTGATCTTAGCATTTTTTGAGTAAAATGCCACACTCATCCCCCTAGTGACAGACTGTGCACTGAGCTTGTGCATCCTGAGAGAAGCATATTCCCTATCAGAGCTAAAGGATTGCTCCACATCAACAGTGGTTGCTTCAGAATGTGCGGGAAAGTTGATAAAAAATCAACCAACACAATATTAATAATTTAGATAAAAACACACCTGGACAATTAAGCACATCAAGTGCCATCTGAAGTAAAGGTGCACAGGTGCGCACCTGCAACAAGTACAAGTACTTGCGTGAAAATTTTCAGATCTCAGACACCTGCACCTGCACCCGCACCTGTAGGCAAGTACTTGTTGAAAGGCAACAAGTACTTGCCAAGAAGTAGCAAGTACTTGCAAAGTTCAAACAAGTACTTGGTGCCATCTCTAATTGTGCAATTCATGTAATTATTATGTGTACATAAACAGGTTTCTTTTGAAAAGTAAATAAAAGAAAACTTAGCTGAGAGGTGAGTAAAAAGTCTTTTGGGGGTTGAGGAATCAAGAAAAGGTTCAAAATTTTGAAATCTCATGAATGGAAAATAAACCACATTTCAATATGGTCAATTTAAAATTTTGCCCGTCTTGTGTTTCCCAACTTTGGTGCTGGAAATTTAGTCTAGTTCAATTGTTGGTGCTGGTTCAGAATATTAATAGTCCAATGTAGACCGGCTGACTACTTACTGGTCTTGAGCTCTTAATTTAGCACCCTTCAAGTTGAATTAGAACTCTTATTGATGTTGAGAATTTGGTGTTGATTGACTTCCTTCAGCAAAGGGCATTTGGATCTTAGATGTCAAGATTGAAGGCTTCAGATCAAATGAAAATCTTCACTACCTATGGAAATCCCCACACAATAGTGGTGTTCAAAGTTGACTCCATATGTAGATTCACAAACATAAAATCATGTCTGTTTGTGGTTGGGATTTTGTAAGCAGATCCCAGCAAAAACTTGTTTGTGGTTTTATGCTTATGCATTTATGAATCCACTTTGAATATGTACCCCTAATATGATTGTATCCTTTCCTCTTTTTTGGAGAATTGTGGGCTGGTAGTGGTACATACCAGTGGAGGGCCAGGAAAATGCTCCCAAATGAATGTCTCCAAACTTGGACAGGTTTCTTCTAATTAAGCTGTTAGTATTGATCCATTAATCTGATCTATATCATTCAACAGAAACAGTATAAAAATATACATGAATTGAACCACCGGCTTGGTCCATTTCTCTTCTTCCTGCACGATTCATAAAAGCCTACTACAGACTACATACCATACAGAGACCCAAAAAGGGAGCTGTTCTACCAACTCAATTACCTTCATGCGCAACCACGTTTTGGGAGTTTGAAACGCGTTCAACATCATAGCAATGTACAGTGCAGTAATACATATATCTACTCAGTTAATTATAAATGAACACAGATTTTTCCATATGTATGAAGTTGGACGCGGTCGCGAAACGAGCTGTATTCATAAACAATCGCGGATTCGTCTCATTTAAAACTTTGCCAAAGGTAAGTGGACAGTGTCGTCATAGCCCACATAAGAACTTGAAGCAAATACAACGCACGACGTACATAAACATGTGTGCATACTGGAAGAAAATCCGACAGAGGCCAGATGGATGATGATGCTATAATTGAGTAAAAAAACTCGAGACGGGTTCTACCGCTACATACGATGCCAAGCACCACCGAACGTGTTGCCATATTGCAACTTCTAAGCAGAATCAATTAGTGTTTGTACTCTAAATGGTTGTTGTGATCGGGAATGAAGTGCAGTCACTGCCACCATTCACATGGGCTCATTTCTGTTCACTGGAGCATTCCATCCGATGTCAAGTGACGACCGAAGTAAGTTACCGGCGAGACAACGAGTCAAATGGTTTTTGGCATCATTCTTGGATTTCTCCTCATTTGCAGTTCAACGTTGCTGCCATCCGTGTACTTGGAATTTATTTCCTTATGTAAAAAACTGTTGAGGGTTGAGCCCTACCAACGATTCATGATTTGATCAGTTGCAACACTTGTCAGCAGTATAACCGGAAACTCGTTGGTCAGTTGCAGAGTGCGATCCTCGGATGTAGGCAGCAGAAGCCGGGTTTGCGCTCCGGCGGCATGGCTACCTGTACGTTCTCGGCTCATAAGTTACCTTGTGAGTTGTGCTTCCAATGAAACAGCTCATCCAGCCGGTCGGAGGGTGCAGTTGGCCAAATGTCCCGGCCACCCTACGTGTATAAATGTTCAGCTGCAACTTGCGTCATCATCATCAGTTCACAGTTCTTCCCACCAATCTGTTAAGCCACAGTTACCTGGTTCAGCTGTAGCTCCAGGAATACCAAGCTACTCGTTAAACATAGACCTTTTTGGCGCCATATAGGGCCTCTCACAAACCAACGTTTTGTCCAGCGCATCCAGTCTCCACACCTCTATCTGGTTACCATCTAGTTATACGCTCTACTTGATAGCATCTAGTTGCTTCTTCGAAAATCTTACCACCTCTCCACCACTCGCGTTCACCCCATCCCTGAAATTTGTTTTCTTTTTGTCGTAAACCTTTTCCACCGCCCTTGAAAAGTCTTCTAAATACGCACAATGTCTCAGTTCAACTTATGCGCTTCTTATTCAGATGAGAATAAGGCAGAGTTCATTGTGGATGCAGTCCTCGTAAGTGCTAGAAGCCGTCCTCAGATGGGGGACATTCTTGATTTACCCCGTCCTGTTTTCACAATTGAAATGAATATTATATCTGACCCATCATCCCCCTCCTTCTCTCTTTTTTTTGTAGTTCGACATGGATGGCACGTTAATAGATTCTATTCCAGCCATCGAATCCGCTTGGGCTGCCGTTGCCAAAAAGATTAACCGAGATCCCCAAGAAGTCATTGACGAGACCCACGGCCGCCGAGTGATGGACAATTTGAGAGATTTAAAACCGGATTTGCGTCGAATGTCAGACGTTCAAATGGCGCCCCACGTTAAAGAATTCGAGCTCGAAGTCCTTCGCCAAGCAGATGAATATGAGCAAGAAGTCAAGAGTCGGAAATCTAGTGCCGCTTCAAGCAGAAGAGCTAGTAGAAAAAGCTCAATGTCAGCTAACTCCAACAATAAGCCGCGAACCAAGTCTGGCCTCAGCCAAAGTATTACAGGAGAATCGGTGACAAATCGAATGAAGGTACCTATGTTTTGTCTGTTTGTTTGATCAGTTATACTGCTCCCGCAGTCAAGGGTACCCACATATTTTTTGACCCTCTCTACTTCGCTTACCTAATTCATAGGCCTTAGGCATTGTGCCCATGGCTAAAATCCAAAAAAATGGGGCAAGTCCATCGGAAGTCACTTCCCCAGAAGAGGATGCCAACAATCTGGCGAAAGATGAAGCTGTGTTTGAAGATGATGACGAGGAGGACGTCGAGGTTGACGTTTCTGACTTGGTTGTGAGTTTCGATTCGGATTTGCACAGAACTTGAATTGGTGTAATTAGACTAACATTTGTTCACGATTCTAGGATCGTTCGGTCAGAATATTACCGGGTGTTCGTAACTTTACGAACGCCTTACCGACTGATCGTTGGGCAATTGCTACTTCTGCAGCAATCACGCACTGTCATGGAGCTCTGGAGAGGGTGGGCATCAACCTACCGAAGGTCACCGTTACCGCAGATGACCCAGAACTCAAAAGGGGAAAGCCATTTGTGAGTCTGATTCATTCCTAATTTTCTTTGTTGGGAAAATGAGATCTAATTTTTACAATAATAATCAATTCCGTCCGATTTTACGAGTTTAGCCTGACCCCTTTCAATTGGCTGCCACCCGATTGGGATTTGATGCCAAAAATTGCTTGGTAGTTGAAGATTCTCCCTTTGGAATCCAAGCAGGTGTTGCTACTGGAGGAAAGACCATCGCGGTTGGAACTTCCCATCCTCACGAAAAAAGTAAGTTGTATGCGTTTTGATTTGAGATTTGAAAGCTTCAATCGCACAGCATTGGGTATACTAATGCAACGATGCTTTGGTGCTTTTCAGTTTCACATTGTGGTTCGACCTGGTTACTTCCCACACTTGAATTAGTTAAAGTGGAAGTCTTGCCTGATGGAAGGATTAAGATCAAAGTTGACGCGACGAAAGCTGAAGTTGAAAAGGCCCATTCCGAGGCTGTGACTACTACACAACCTCCCAAGTACACCCCTGGCAACCTTGCTTGTGCCTAGAGAGATTGACTCAAGCATTACCATCAGTCTGTTTTTCACTACATTAAAACAGGCGGCTTGATTCTTGAGCCCGACCACATACAAATTACAATCAGTAATCTTGACTAAAAGAGAACAGTTGTCTGGCTATCAAATAAATCAACGTTTTCTTATATCATTGTTTGCTCCAAAATATATACAGCTTTTTTTAGAAAAATAGAAACCCATTTGATGTCATTGTGTAAATACTGTTGCAAGTCCTTTCAATCAATTCCAGTGCTGGTAATTTTGCATTTCCACCTAGGTCCTCTCAAAATAAAACAAAAAAAATTCTGTGATTGATTCAAGTACATGGATTCAGATGGAGCACATAGAAATGATGCTTCACTGGTAGCATGATTGCAGCCTGCTTACCCTTTTTTGTACATTTTCTGGGGTTTATGTTAAAAAAAACCAGGATATCTCAGAATCAAATCCTTGAGGTTACCAGTGTAAAGGGCACAGAAATTATTATTCCTATCATCAACAATTGTTTCTAAAATAAGATAGAACTATTTTTGAGATAGAAAGGAATCCAAAACATTCTGCTACAATCTTACAGTCTTTGACTGGACAAAAATATTTGACATGAATATTTGTTATAATTGTCTGAGCTGATAAGATTTATGACACAAATCAATTGGGCTGGTTAAAAATCTGGAGTTATACTCTAAAATGATGTTTGTTAGCACAATAAGTCATAAATATAAGACTTAACATGAGTAGGACAACAATTCAAATTGAGAATTCAAAGTCAATATTGAAGTTGTAAAGCAACCAAGTTGAGGTCAATTTTGAAACGCTCCAGTACTATTCACCAGGAAGGAAGATGGTAACCTACACCCATGTGTTGACTATTGGAAACTCAATGTGGTGACTGTGAAGAACAAGTACCCCCTACCCCTGACAATGGACCTTGTTAACAGCCTACCAGCAATGTTGAAACCAATATTTCCCAGGTATTGCCTTAGAATACAACCCAATCTTTGGGCCCAGTATATTATAGCCCCCCCCCCCCCAACACAATAATTTTTATTGATGGCCACATTTATTGTGTGGCCAATACAATAAACTTTATTTATCATTTTTGTATTGGTTGTTGTATTGGTCTGTCCAATACAATACAATAATAAACTTCAAAATTATCAGTGGTCTTCCAAAAAACACTGATCAAGTCGATCAACACACCTCTTGCCTTTCTACTACACATCCTCACTCAAAACTTAGTAAGGTAAGTCTTTTTTTTTTTTTTTTTTTTTTTTTCTTTTTTTCTTTTTGGATCAATCAACCATTTTGATTGGTGATTAAAAATTGATGTTTTTCTTTTGGATCAAGCAATCAGACCACAGTGTTGAGGCTCCTCATTGCTGATTAATCCCTCCAATCATTGCAGGTTGATCAGTAGACGTTCCTTTGACACCCCCAGCCAGCAAGGATCCAATTGAGGCAATCATTTGATTGTTCAATGCCTGAGTCCTCCTTATGATCCTCACTGATTGATTGAGGCATGAACAATGCATAGCTGAGACCAATTTTTTCATTCCTCTGCTACCTTGGCAGTTGCTAGGCAACTGCCAAGGTGGAGAGTAAGTTGTTCTGATTAGAATTGAAACAACTTATGTACAAGTATTTAAGACCAGTCACTGACTGTAACTGTTCCTTGTATGTTGTCTAGAATCTTGTAGGTCTTTTTAGAGTCTAGACCCTCCTTCAACAAAAAGTAAGTTGTTCCAATTAGAATTGGAATGACTTACTTGTAAGATAACAAAATTCTGAGTTGCCCAATTGATAGATCATTTTTGGCCCAGTTACCTTGCTGGGCTAGCGGACTGGACCTTAAGTTTTTCAATGTACACTGCCACCTTCTTACTAGCAAGGCCGTCAACAATGTGTAAGTTGTTCCAATTAGAATCAGAACAACTTACTGGTAAAATAATATCATTCTGACTCAACCCATTGCTAGATCATTGTTGGCCAAGTTGCATCGCTTTCCTAGCTACATTTTGGACTATTCATTCCAAAGGTCAGCCACAAACAATCCCTCCTGGCACCTCATTACTAGGAAGACCGGTCACTGGCCGTCATTTTTTTATTCTGATCCAACCAAGAATAGATCATTGTTGGCCTGGACTGATTGTTTTGAATCTCATCCCCATCCAATCCATCCTCCTGCCAAATTTTTATTATGGGGGTTTGTCTTTGAAAACTGATTCATATTTTGTAAAGATTGAATTTTCTTTTCTTTTGAAGCAATACATCACAACAGTCAATTCAGTGAATGGTGAAAAATGCGCCTGGTGTGTGTAACAGGGCTGGCTACAGACTGTGAGGAGCCTGGCTATGATGAGGATGCACAACTGAAAAAAGTGTATGAAGTTGCATTGGATTGCAAGAACTAAGGGAGAGGATGTCTGAATGACTGGGGAGAGTAATGATGGCCAACTGGACCTGGGTAACTGCTGCGAGTCTGGGTACCCACTGTGAATTAGGACAGATTCATAGACCCAGACTCGGACCCGGCACCTGTAGGTGGGTACCGTTGGTACCCTAGGGGGGTAACACAGGTACCGCCACTATGTATTGCAACATGACAGACAAATATCCATTCCAAGCTGGCCCACCCCATCTGTATTTTGGCTGATCGGACTGGATAATCATCAGTCCCTCCTTAATCTGGCCAACAACCTCAATCGAACGGCACTTCCTGCGATCCCCAAGCGCTACGGGATCCGACTTCCTCCCGAGAAAGATTGCTTGACGGCTCCTAACTTCAATATCGCTCCCAAGCCCACTCCGACTGAAGTGGGAAGCCCAAGCAATCACAAGGAGGGCATGTTTGGGGGAATTGATGACAACAACAGTAGTGACAGCGATAGCAATAGCGGCACCAAGATGGACTTTGCTCCCTTCATCAGCATCAATGACAATGGCAATATGGCTTCTGATCAAGCTAGAAGGAGACTGGAGGATGTTGAAGAAGATGATTAAGATTGACCTTGATTGGGTTTTCTTTTCAAGTGACTCTGTAATCTAAAAAATTTCCACTTTATTGGAAAGGTTTCTGTAATTTAAAAGTGATTGCTGAATGTAAGGCTGAAGCAGGACACGGGTACCCACCCATGCTTTGAACCCAAACCCCATAACCGGACCCGCACCTGGCACCCGTATGGCGGTACCCGACAGGTGTAGCAGGTACCTGCCTGCGGGTTCCGGGTACCGCCAGACGGGTACCCATTGGCCATCATTAGGGGAGATCCCCTAAAACAGAGGACAAGTATTTTTACTTGTCAAAACAAGAAGACTCTAGAAGAGAAAAGAAAACACAAAAGCTAGAAAATATGAAATATGTCTGCCAAATGAATGACTGGATGAATAGTCATTCATTTGGCTGAGAAAAGAAGAACAGGAGCCGAGTGGAGTTTGGCACCTATCTCTGGCGCTAGCCAAAAGCTATACACTACTCAAAAAGTCCCTGGTGTGCTCCCAGGGCTTGTTGTGTCAACCTGTCAAGAAGCCCTGTAGCACGGCTACAACATCCCCCCCTTAACCTGGGTCCGTCCCGGACCCTGCAGGCGGCGGTCCCAACTGGAGGTTGACCTGGGTGAGCACTGGGCCCAGCATTGGGGCCCTTTGCAACCATCCCGTCAGGCATGGCAATAGCTTTAGCCTTCTTGATCAGGTATTTTGTCACTTTGGTCTCTGCCCACTTTTCCCTTAAGGCAATAGCAGGGGGAGCTGCCCACATCTCTTTGTAAATCAACAGCCTAAGAGCTACCGGTAAAATGTTGTTATCATTCACCAGACAATGGTATTTGATCCCCTCATGATCTACCAAAATCTAGACTTTATTTTTGATCACTTTGGCAATCTTGAACAGCCCAAAACTTCTTGGTTCTCCTTTGGTGTGCTTCTTGTTACAAAGCTTCACAGTCTGCCTCACCTGTACAGTTTTGACGAGTTCTCTTTACCGAAAATCAATTCAGACAGCCAGTAGTAGTAGACAGACTTAACAAGTGAAATGAAAAACAATCAAAGAGAGCCAATAAGAAAACCACCAAAAGAACACAAGAATGAATTAAAAAATGAAGATTCAGTACCAAAATTTGTAACTGATAGTTAAGCGATGAAAAATAAACAGGGCAATGAGATTCTATAACGACAAAAGACTTGAGAACAAAACTGGACACCAGAAGATGATTTAGTTAATCATGAATCATAGATAAAAAGAAACAACAAGAATGAAAGAAACAACAAACGAATAAGCTCCTTGATTGATTGTATTCTTCCTCCTCCTGAACTGGTGTACTTGTCTGTTTCTGGTCTGTGTAATGAATCAAAATTGAAAATAAGTTTTCTTCCTTAGTTATACTTGAACTCATGTTAGAATACCTTAATTTCTTCTGTTGATCTTGATCTTGATGGTGTCGACTCTTGAGATCTTCAATGATTGAATGAAATAATGAAAGCAAAAGAAAAACGATCCACACTGAGACTACGAGTGAAGCAAAACTAACAACCCTGAATTTTCAATTCAACCACATTTCACACGTGTGTACTTTCTCCTTCAACCTTCTACATCTTGACTACGTAATTACTTTCTCAACACTCCTCCTTAATTAGTAGATACGAGATGCAATTGTTCTTGAGCAATGGCCACCTTGATAAATCCAAGACATTTTGTCAAAATGTCCACAATCATATCATCAGTTGAAATATCTTCTACAGTAAGCTGATTCTTTTCCACAATGTTGCACAAGTATTGATACCAAATTTCAATATGTTTCAAGTTTTTGGACAACCAAAGTTCCTTGCTGATAATCAACACACCCGCATTATCATTTCAAATGCACGGAACACCAACTGGAACCTTCATGTCAATTAATAAATTCTTCATCCACCGAACTTGCTTTGCACACACATTTATTGAACTAAATTCTGCTTTGGTTGTAGATTGCGCCACCACAGTGTGGTATACCTTAAGGGTAGCCATCTGGCCCATTTAAAAATTTTACAGTTTTTTCTTTTATTACAAATTACATACTTTTTACACCTTTTTTCTCATATATACACTCACAAATCACCCAATATGGCTCAAGAACTGGATTCTACGGTCAATTTCACCCTTGGTCACCACTGGAGGCGTCACTGGAACTCAACTGGATTGGAAGCTACACTCTCTGGACCATCACCACACTCAATTACACAACTCACCACCATGGCAACACTTCAACACTCAACAACACCAACAAATTACATAACTCACACTATACATATGTACATTGCAGGACAACTACATACACTCTCACACCATTATAGTACATGTATACACACAACTCCACTATCTTCTGATAGTTGACACATGCAGTGTTGGTCTGGTACCACTCTGGATTTACAAGTGACATCACGCAGGTTGTCATGTCATTTTTAATCTTCCTTGCAGCTGTCAGACTATCTCACACCACTCATGTAATACTCATCACCTCACCTTAGCTTGCAGGCTAGTACATCACCTCATGTAAAATGCTTCACCAGCATAAAACCCTCATGTAGACTTCTAGTTCAAGCTAAAATAACTCTTATGACATCATGTAGGTTGCTCAACCAGCCAAAGTACCTCATGTACATGTTCTGACTAGCTAAATCCCCTCATTGTAAATCTCTGGCCAGCTAAAATATCTCGTTCTCTTGTTTCCCTGAAGCTAAAATCCCTCACCTTTGTGTATTTAAGAGGCTCTCCTCTCAGTTGTTTGCCCCTCAGTTTAGTATCCACCTATTTCATACCCCCTACCCTTAGAAACCCTTACATACCATTACATACCATCCCCTTACCATTGAAATATCAGCTAGACTCACTCTCTCATTCTCAAATCAACCTCTTAGACCTATATAAAACTGGGTTAAACCCTTTGTCCACCTGTTAAGCCACAGTTATCTTTTGATACACTCCACTATCACTTTATTAAACCTTCCAATCTGAGATTGGTGGGCTTGTCTAGTGTCTAGTGATCCAGGAAAGGCAGAGGTATCCTCATTCATCCCTTTCCACACTCAGCAAAAGGTTTTCACAAACACTTTTGAGCTTTACAAGGGAGTCCCCAACGTGATAGAGGATCCTGTAGTTTGGCAAGTGGATTAGATATATCTAAACCATTGTAGTGATTTCTATAGTTTATTTTAGTAGAATTTTAGTTAGTTTTAGGCAGGAAAATTCCTGTTTTGACCTCGTGACAAACCATATCTTTGAATAATCACATTCTGTTTAGCTTTATACGACTTAGTTCTTAGATATACCTAGTAGAACTCCGGATTAAATAGTTAAATACTCAAGAATCAATTATTAAGTAGAAGACGAGGGGACCAATTAGCCGACGTACTAGAGTAGTTAGGATAAAAAAGTTTAACTACCAGGTGGTAGCCAATTAGAACTCAGTGCAAAGTAGAATACTAGTCTATGACAACCTCTACAAATCTATATAATTGAATAGTAGTATCATATTATTTAGTTTTATTAGTATTATTATTAGTTAGTAACCAAAACCCCCCAACCTTGCCCTGGATAAGACCGCCAGTGACATTAGTCAGAAGAATTTAGGACTACTACTAGAGATTATCAACAACTCAACTCAAGATAAAGCAACCGGAATCAGTTATTCTCAGTCATGGTGTTTTCTCAGGCTCAAGACGGACCAACTCTACCAACAACCAACCCAGCTTCAACTGGAATATTCTCTGGCAATCAAGACAATCCCAATATAAATATTGATCCACCTCCACCAATAATACCACCTCTTTTACCCCCCCACCAATGCAAACAAGTCATACTCGAGTACGGCACTATTGTGAAAGGTATGGGGCTCATCAAAACAATCAACAAAACGATGACCCAGCTGGCTCTGGGAACACTCAACAAACAAACTACCCTGTGGGAACCTACGGCTTACCTCCGGACATTCAGGAAATGGACGAGCCTATGCCTAGACCTGCAGTCATCATCAAGGAACCAGACTTAAGATATGAAGGCAAGAACTTTGAAGACTTTTTGGAACAATTTGAACTGGAGGCAGAAATCTACGGTGCTGGCGGCTATGACAAAGCACGTCAAGTGTGTAGATTTGTGAAGGTAGAAGAATTGAAGAAGGAATTGGAATCGATGGACGGATATAAGCAGCAGAACTGGACACTTCTTCGTGCAAGCATGATAGAAATCTGGGGAGGCATGGCAAAGAAGATTCGGTACACGATCAAGGACCTTTACAATTTGATTGATTTCTGTCAGAAGAAAGGCGGAATCAAGCAGCTGAACGATTTCAAAACTTATCAGTCAAAGTTCATGATGATAACTAAGTATTTGGTAAGAAATGAACATATAGTAAATGAAACCAGTGTCTCTCACCTTTTCTTTTTAGCTTTTTCAACAGATATACAGACAAGCATTAATCGAGAGCTAGTCAAGGCAGACCTCATTCCTACAGGGAAGGATGGTTATAACAAACCACCCCTCCTTTCGGATGTCATTGATGTAGCTGAGGATGAAATTCAAGCAAGGTCACTCAATGTCTTTGCAGCTAGTGGATTTGCCGAGGCCAACCAATTGATGCAAAGGACTCTGGACCAGAAGAAAGGCAACGAAAAAAGCGTGAGAAGATGATGGACGACAATCCTCCGGAATTACTTCAGAAACAGGTTGATAGCTTGGCAAAAGCAATTGTATCACTCACAGGAAAATTGGAGAATCAACCTAAAAATGAATATTCTTGTGGAAATGATCGACCATCTGGACAACTTTATGAACCTCGACCCTGTTACTATTGTCATAAGGAAGGACATTCAACCATAATGTGTTACAAAGCACAGAAAGATGAAGGAGAAGGACGTGATTTCTACCTTCCCAATGGCGAGAAAATTCCATGGGACCCTTCAAGACCTATTCCGGTGGTTGTGGCTGCGGACTCCGCAAAACCTAAACCTCAGATCACCAAAGTATACCA